AAAATACAAATTAATACCAATAAATTTTTATTTAAAAAAAGTAAAATTTATTTAACAATTTTCCCCCCGGGGGGCCCTTTACCGGCCCCCCCCCCCCCCAAAGTATGCCTGAAAGAAACCCTGGGTAGGGTAGGCGTATAATATATAGTATAGTAGATAAATACTTCTCAAAACTTTTAATGATGTAAGAAACGTCAAATCATTACATAGATACTTTTTATTTTTAAAATACGGAACAGTGATGACTTTTCGCAATAGCAATTGGAAATTATCGCAAAGTGCCTGCCATTATTATCTCGATTAAAATGGGGGGATATTTTCTGGTAATAGTAATATCAATTGTAATTGTAATAGTAGCATACATTTCATTTATAGGCTAATCCTAATAGTTGTTTTTTGTGTTATATAACACTTTAATTGAGTCTAAAAATTGTAAAACACTGCAAAACAGACGCAAATAGAAGTTTACGTTTTAAATATGTGCATCCCTGTTAAAATTATTAATTAGAAGATAGTTTCGATTTTTTTTTCGTTTAATTAATAACGTTTTCTGTACATTATTTGTGGCTAATTTAATTCATTCATTTAACAAACAGGCAGTATTTTCCCCCTCTACATCCGGCTGTTGGCTAATGAATATTCATAACTCCGATACCACATCCAGAACGAGGTTAGTATTGATATTACAGTCATCATGGCGGACATGGAAGCTATGGATGCGATGGGCGATGAAATGCCTGATGAAAATGGTCCAAATTCTGGAATGATGGACGACGAGGAAGACACCGATCACGACAACATGCACGATAATATGCATGATCATAACAACGAAGACATGAGTGGCCATCATGGCATGGGAATGGGTAATGAGGAAGACGACATGGGAATGGGTATGGGAGGTGGAATGATGGGCATGGGCAACGATATGATGATGGGAATGGGCAGTGAAAACCCAAACGAAATGGATATGGGCATGATGGATGGAATGCAGAATGATTTTAAATACAATAGATTTCCTGGACCCCGAGGCCGAGGTGGATTTATGGGACCCAGAGGCCCTGGAGGACCTAGAGGGTAAGTTACTGAATTACTTGTAAATTAGGTACTTGGATAAAATTTTCAAATTGAATGAATTGTGAAATGAACACATCTGCATGATAGCCCTTGTTAAATGAAGTAATAATATGTTTTCATTTTTCATGTAGCACTTTCGGTTAAAATGATATGATTTATTTTGTGAATAAAAAATCACTTTTTTTACATCTCAGGGTTATACGCAGCCGACTGCGTATAGTATAACCCTGAGAGTTATACGCAGTCGGCAAGTCACGTGAGGTCTATATTCTTCCTGTGTTACAGTATCAATCAATAAGGGTGACTTTGATATCGGGTTGACTGTGTGGTCGAATGGTACAAACTGACCAAACCTCAAGTTGGTGGTCTTGAGTTCAAATCCAGCTAACGGCAAGCCATGAATACACGTTAGTTGCTATGTTTGTTCTCGAGAATGAAGCTAAAACAACTAGGCTTATTGTTTTACTTTTGTTTTGGCTAAAAAATGTTAAAACATGAGAAGAATTATTAACTTGACCAATTTAATGTTAATAATGTTATTCTTATAATTATCAAATATATGTTTGTGTTGTTAACTAATTTTGTGGCAGATAAAATCATGTTTCTCTGGTATAGTAATAAAAATAATCATGGGTTGAGAGTAGCAGGAAAAAAATCGCTGTAGGGGCAGGGGTTCTGTAGAGGGGGCACTGTAAGTAATACTTTCACACAGTTATAGTTTTGCATGGAAGCTGAAAACTGTTACATTTAGGTCATCAAAAAAAAAAAAAAATCATAAATGATAAATTTAAAAAAAAAATAAAAAAAAATAGAATGTATTTCCTGAATTAGTCAGTAAAACCAACCACATGGTCATAGCAACATATAAAAACCTAATCAATCAAAATACATAACTAGACTTAGACCATGGAAAGGCCTTTAAAAAAATCTAAGACTTAGCCTTAGGCTTAGACTCTAAGAAATGTAGACTTTGACTTATACTTATAATTATAATATATAAGATACAAGCAATAATACTAATAATAGCATTAATAGTAATACTATTGCTATCATCAATTTCAATATTAATTAAAATTAATTCATTTAAAATTTTAAGTTAAACACATTAAAAGTTATAGTTCAAAACAACCCATCATGCGGCTAATTACGTATAATACTTTTTTTTTAAATTGCCAAACAAGTGATTGATAAACCTTATTTGGCTAAATTCCTAGCCGACTGCGTATAACCCTGAGAGTTATACGCAGTCGGCTGTGAATAACCCTCAGGGTTATGCGCAGTCAACTGCGTATAACTCTCAGGGTTATGCGCAGCCGACTGCGTATAACGCTTCCCTTTTTACATAGAGATTTGGGCAATCCTCCGAAGTCCAGTCCCAAATTATTTCGTATGAAAAAAATTGCAATTGCACAGTGTCTATTGTTAGAAAACAGCAGAAATGTCAGTCATAGCGTTTGCAAATAACTGTCACTTTACAAACCAGTCAGTAAATACTAAATGTTGTCATTGGCGCAAAGCATTTGCAAATAGCAGCCGAAAACATTCTGTTTGTGACTGTTGTGCCACTGAAGGCTCCGAGTAGCTGGCGAACAGACTGCGACTAGTACCACTCTGATAGCAGAGTTTACGTTTCGCTTGCATCCAAAGTCCTTCAATAATTTATGTGTGAATGTCCTGGTCTACTGGATCAACAAATTCACGCTCCTGCACAATGACAGCGTGAGCATAAATCCCGTTGTTGAGCTAACCGACATTTTGATATCTTCGCCAAGTGTCCGTGACGATAGTTAACTGTTGTCCTTGGTAACACATGATTAGTGGTGATAATGCGCTCGAGTGTTTGTGCATCTCGACGGCCGACAGCCTCCATCCAACATCGTCCACTAACGCAAACATGAATTTCAAAACAGAATGATGCCCAAGACTTATAAGTAAGGAGTAATCACTGAAAATAATTTGTGACCGGACTTCGGAGGATTGCCGAGATTTGTGACCTCTTTTTACAATTTTTTAACGAAAAGGCTCATAACTTTATAGCAGAGTGGACAAATAATATGAAACTTTCCAGAAGTGTTCATCATCATATTATCAACATCTTTGTTGCTTTAAAAACTAAAAAAAAATTAAGACCAAAAGTAATTTATTTTAAAACAGGAAATATATCAGAGGCAATTTTCCAATAAAAATTATGCTTTAATTTGAAATGGAGCAATATCTGATAAAATATTAGTTAATATGTCTATTATTGTATAGATATTACAATAAAACCTAATATTAATTAAGATGGAACTTGATTGCTTGAAGCATTATAAAATTTCTTGGGCTTTCTTATCTGTCAACTATTGTTAAATAATACTGTTTCCGGTTTGTCACTTTCGCTTTCGGACATTTTTTTTTTTTTTTTTCAAATTTAGACCCGTTCTGGCCAAAAATAACATTGTTATGGCCATCTTAGAGACTTGAAATTTTACATGGTCATTTTTGATACAATTCTACAGGTACACCAGGTCGATTTAAAATGGGACAACGAATAGTTTTCAAAATATTGATAAATTAGACTTAGCTGCTTTCTCACATTTTTTTTTATTTACGACATACTGATATTACTGAAAACAAAATGGATGTCGTTAAAGCCCGTTCATTAAAGTAATTAGAACAGTAATTCGTTCGCTGATCCGTCGTTTCTAGCACGAAAAAATAATTTGTTAGTGAACCCTATCATCCAGCACACCAAAAAAAGCGTCTCAAAATCCTAGGGGCAAAAATAGCCTCATATCCAAGTACCTATTAATAGGCCTGGGCGCCCTGGGCCTAAACTATTATAGTTTTATAGTTATAGCATTAGCTTATTTAACCATAAATGATGTGTATAATAAAGTTGTAAAAGTTCCTGTTCTTGGCTAAATCTGAAGACTGCTGCCACAGCGTCTTTTGTGTGTTTATTATAGTTGCAGTGAATTAGGGTTTAGGTTAGGTTGAGGGATCGATTTAGGGTTCAGGTTAGGCATAGGGATCGACTTAAGGTTCAGGTTAGGCATAGGGATCGATTTAGGGATACATTTGTGAAATTCGATAAAATAGTGGCAGTCATCCCCGTAAATTACCCTGTTCTTTACTGAGCATTAAATCTGACGATGGATATTTTCCCGGTTAATATGAATATGAAGTATGTTTTTTTGGGAGACCACTGACTGACTACTGCTGAAATTGAATTGAATGGAAATGGGTGGCAATGCAATAGCTTAGGAGGTTTAATTACCCAGTAGGTAGAGTCCATATTATAAATTTATTATAAATTATCATAATTTTCCGTATGCAAAATCTCACATAAGAGTTTGCAGTGTGCAAAATGATCTTCTGGTGACTGGAAAGGGGACACCCCTCCCACTACTTTAAATACCAAAATAAGAAACAAAGAAATCTTTTGGGGAGGGGAGGGTCCCAATTTAAAAAACTTGCATTTAGTATTATGTGAACACAAACATCGAAATCTTTTGCTGTAGACGGAAGTTGACCTAACTCTCTATACAAACACAGTTTGGGAAGAGAAAATCGGCAGATGAAATCAGCTGACGACAGTTTTTGGGTTAATACAGACCTGTTTACTCTTACGATTTTGGCGTACAATGTACGATTTTGAGGTGTATAAATTATATATACTGTATGTTTATTTTTTACTATTAAGTTAATTAAGATAATGTATTGAACAGTTTTGTGATGATATTGTACGATTTTAAGAGTTTGAGGGTAAACAGGTCTGTTAATAGGAAAATAATCAAGATTTGTGTTTTTAATTTTTGCGGAATATTAACAAAAACTAACTTATATTTTGTGGCTTTATTTAGAAGTACTCTTATTTAACTATGTTCCCTGTAAATATTATATTTTTGTCTCATTTTATAATAAAGTTATAAGGCAAGCAAAATGAGAGTCACAAAATGTGGAGGTAAACCCCATAGTAAAAAAAGTGGTTTTGAGATCCCTACTAAAAAATTCATAACTTTTGAACCACTTAAGCTAGAAAGTTGATCTTGGTGTTTTTGTAATCTATTCTCCAGGCTCTAAACAGCTGTAGTATTTTTATATTTTATATTTTTAAAAATGTTTTGAAATTTTCATCGAAGTGCCTACTATAAGTTTATAAGCTTTATCAAAACATCAATTTCATCTTTCTAGCTTTTATAGAAGTTGGGTTATGTTTTTAGTGAATTTTTTAAAGCCTCTTCTTTATCTCTGTATAATGACAAAAACTTGTGACCAACTTAACAAATTTCTGCCGTATTTTGCTCACAACTTTTTTTTTATTATAACAGATAATGTTACCAAATTTTCAGGAGACATAAATGCAACAAAACTTTTACGTAACATCAAGACCTGTTGTTTTTTTTTTTTTTATAATTTTATTTGCGGGTAGTTAAAAAAATCCTGAAAAGAAAAATTGCTGTATTTGGGAATTTTAGAACCATTTGATTGTAGGGATTCCATGCACACAACCATTAACAAAGTTTAGAATTCTTTACCTATCTTTATTTTTTGATCGCCAGCTTTCTGAAACATACAACAGAACTGACCAAACATTTGAGTTATGAATTCTAATTTTTTTCTCTCTCCTTATTAGCCGTGATTTCCAAATATTTATAAGTCCTAAAGCAAAAGCTCTTCTTGTCGTTAGTATTCTTACCTTGATATCTATTTTAGATCCCCAAGTCCTTACTAACTATACTTCCTAGATAGGTAAAGTTATCTACCTCTCGTAATGCTTTGCCTCTATCTACTTCTCCTAATACTTTTCCTCTTATCACTACCTCTGTGCTGCTAGAATTTATTCTGGAAAAAGCAGGACAAGTATATGGAAGTTTGAATTAAAAGACAGGAGAATATGATATTGTTTTGACTTAAAGCCCTCCTCAACAGACACAACAAATGAAAATACTACAAGAATTAGAATAGTAAAAAACTTTAGTGATCACCATTGTTATTGCTAAAAGTAGGATTTTTCAAAACGAAGATTGCAGGAAGTGAAAGAATATATGTATTTTTACTGTGAAAAGTAACGTCTTGAATCTTAACGGAAACAAATATTTTGGAGATGTATAAAATCATTAGTAGGAGCGTATTTGATTAATGCCATATGCCTCAAAGCTGAGTTAATTCGTTGTCCATTCTAACGCTATCTGTGTTGGTATAGGAAATCAGTGCCGTGAGGGATACATCTAAATGTCCTTTTATGTTTATCTCCGTTGAAATTTGATGAGACCGGGGAAAGTTTACTTAGTTCAATATCATGGATTTGTCACTCCTCTCATCTTGGATTTGTGTGGTGCTAAGATCAACAGCCCAACTGTGTTTGACTGGTTCCCATAGTTGTTGTAGGGTCCAAGTAACACAAGGGAAGAAAGGAGTGATTAAATAAAAATAAAAAAAAAAAAAAAAGATAGGAAGCCCATGCCTGCCATATATTTGAAAGAAATACCCTAAAAAAAGGGGCCAAAAAAAACAAGGGAAGAAAGGAGGGATTAAAAAAAAAAAAAAAAAAAAAAAAAGATAGGAAGCCCATGCCTGCCATATATTTGAAAGAAATGCCCTAAAAAGCAAGTTGATTGTCAGATGTTGTGTTTTAGATAGGCTGATAGATGAAAAAGGAACTTTACGATCTCTATTTTTAAAGGGTGGCACTCAATACTCTAGTGTGAGATTTAACTTATATTGTTGCTCCTACTAGGCTCATGGTCCAATGAATATTTTCATGTTAAAGGTTTGAATTTAAAAACTGTTATGACATGACTTTCTTTTCAGAATGCCACATTTTGGACGACCTCCAATGAATAGGTTTGGTGGACCCAGGGGACCAATGGGAATGAGAGGTCCACCTATGGGTATGAGAGGCCCACATGGAATGAGAGGGCCTCCACGTGGACCACCTTTTGGGAGACCACCATTTGATCCTAATTTTGGCCCACCTGGAATGGGACCTAATCAAGGAATGCGAGGACCTGGTATGAATGGGCCAATGATGGGAGGACCGCCTGGAATGGGACCAAATGGACCTGGAATGGGGCCCAATATGGGAGGAATGGGTCCTAATGGACCTGGAATGGGTCCACCTGGAATGGGTCCACCAGGAATGGGTCCTCAAGGAATGGTGAGCAATTTTTTAGAGACTTTTGTATTTTGATCATGAGCAATGACTAAATCAATGAATGATTCAAGGTAGAAAAAACATACATAACCTATCTTGTAACCACCATAATGCTTTATCAACATTTGATTTATTATATTATAGTATTATATAAGTTGTTTTTAGAAGTACATACAGATGTTTGTTATATCTCAGCAACACTTCAAGATTTAGAATATAAGCGGCAATATTATCTTCTATTAATCAGAAAGCTAGATAATATTTTTGGTTTATTGATGTCAGCTTGTCTCTCTATGAAACACACTTCTCAATCAAATTTTTACTCTTAAAATAAATTGCTCTTTAAATGTTGGAATAGATTTTTACAAATAAACTGGTTAACTACCATGAGCCAGTGGGACCAGCTCAGCATTTCTTCCCTTATGGCCACGAGCCGGTGGTAGCGCCAATGTTTGTATCATTAGTAAATCGAGTCAAATATTTATATTATTCTGTTCCCGTTTTGCTTTGAGATTTTAATTTACTGACAGGATTTTTATATTCGAACCCCATGCTATCGGCACAATGTTTTAAAAAACGAGCTGTTAATTAATTTTGACTTAATTTCCAAGCTAGTTACAAAATTTTATTACTTGTTTACCGTGGCAAGAAAGGGCAGGGTTACTAAAGGTATATAAGTGATTGGAAGTGTAAATATTATTCAATTTCTGTGTTCTTTGGTGCATATTTCTTAGTATTGGATATACTATTTGGAAACCACCAAATAAAAGGCTTTAAATGATTCGGAAATTTAAAATTTATACATAAGTTGGCACATTTATATATATTTTTTTTTTCTGTTGTAAATACTAATTAAACAATTATTTCCTTACAAAACTTAACAGTACAAAGGTTTTATGTTTATCTTATGGACAATTCAATTATCTACAAAATGGTTTATTAATCATTAGAATATGTTTATAATAAAGGAAACCGCAGCTGAATTTGTCAATACCCCTATAATGAGAAAATGTGACTTAGATTTAAAATATGTCATAGCAGGTTTTTCAATATGGTTGCTAATCAGATAGCATTCACTTCGTCTTGTGTAATATTAACTATCTTTGTACAGGAAAGTATTATAAATAAATACACCGCTACTAATTTCAGAGCATGAACACTGCTAAAGTAAGTTGGAAAATTGAAGGCTAATTTTCTTACTATACATAAAGTATATTTCATGTTTCATGTTTGCTTTAAAATTACGTTCATTTAAAAAAAAATTATTTTAAAATCTCTTCTAATACTGCACATGTATTATTTTATTTAATGTTTGAAAAACCATTCATTACCATCAATTTATTTTTAATTGTTTCTACTGGCATATTATTTTATTGGGTTGGCTTATGAGCGGGTCATACATCTTGCAGGCTTTCCCGGCTAAAACTAAGTGGGTTGGCTTATGGATGAACGGGCTTATAAATGAGTATATACATAAATAATTTTTTTAAATTCGTACTTAAATTAAAATGGCTGATTAACAATAAGTATTGAAAAGATTTGCTTTCAGAAAACCACTAAGAGTTCATTATCTTACAAAATATTTTTATTTATCAAAATATTCAAGATGGTTTATTTCATTGATAGTACTTATCATTAAATTTAAAATAAACCATGCCAATATGTTCATAGATTATTTTGTGATGTAATCCTCAGAGACCTTTAATGCCACCTCCAAATTTTCCTCCACCAAACTTTTCCATGCCACCACCTGGATTTTCCAATGGAATGCCCCCTGGCATGATGGGAGGCATCAATATGCCTCCACCTATGCAAGCACCTTTAGACCCAACAACACAAGATATATGGATCGAGACAAAATCTCCAGAAGGAAAGGTCTGTACCAGTTCTGGAAAATTGAATATTTTTTTAATACAATATGAGGGATTGCGTTCAAGCCGTGTGAAGGAAATATTTGAGCAAGATATGTTTAGGCTTGAAATAAAAAGACAGGATAATTGTATACCTATATACCTTCTTAGAAGACAATAAAAAAAAGTAACAGCCGTTAATTAGAAATAAAAAATAAATAACTTATGTGTTAGAAACTCTCAATGTTGAGAACCAGAATTTCTCAATGTTAGAGACAGAAGTTAAGTAGTTCAAAACCAAAACGTGCATGTAACATAATTTTGTGATTCGTACTACCAAGGTTACAAGAAGTAAAAGAATTTAAATATTAATTTAAGATTTTAAACAACTCCTAAAAAGGATAGAAATTAGTATTTTTTGAGACTGTTAAAAATCAATGAAATTTGTTAACAATTCCTTCTTGTATATTTTTATTGCAGGTCTACTATTATAGTGCCAGAACAAGAGAGGCAGCGTGGACAAAACCAGAGAGTGCTAGAATAGTTACTCAGGTTGAGTGGGAAGCTTATCAAACTAGCCAAGCTCAGGCGCAAGGTGGCGTTCTTCCTGTTGTATCAGGGGGAACATCAACTGCTGCTCAGGCTGCTGTTGCTCAAGGTATTTGAAAAGAAAGTTATCTTACTTCTTGTAAGGGTTCAAGTGAAATTAAATATTAACATTTTTAATGTTTGTTGAAGGGAATAAGATATCTCTTGTGGCTGTATAAATAAAAAAGTTCAATATGTATGTATATCATCAGCTTTGAGAAATGTTTCCAAACAAGCTCAAATGATATGGGAATCCATTTAATGTTCATTAATACTGTTAGGTACATGGTTTTTGCTAATTTAATCTGTTTTAAGATTTGGCTCGATGGATGAACAATGCGTAACAAAAGGACTGAAAACCAGTGTAAAAAAAAAAAAAAAAAAAAAAAAAAAAAAAATTAAAAAAAAAAAAATAAATTTTAAAAAAAAAAAAAAAAAAAAAAAAAAAAAAAAAAAAAAAAAAAAAAAAAAAAAAAAAAAAAAAAATGTTAGGTACATGGTTTTTGCTAATTTAATCTGTTTTAAGATTTGGCTCGATGGATGAACAATGCGTAACAAAAGGACTGAAAACCAGTGTAAAAAAAAAAAAAAAAAGATAACAAAGCTAGTGATATTAACAATGTTCAATTTTATTATACTATTAAAATTTAATTCAAAAACAAAATCAAATTCACAGAAATAAAAGCTATATTAACTTACAGCACAGCAGGTGAAAAAATTTAATCCTCAAAAGATACAAATATTAATATAACACAAACAAAGAGTAAAATCTTGTAAGTATGTCTAATAAATGTCAGGAAATCCGGCAAAAATCTTTTGGGCAGGGAAAGCTGGTGATTTATTTACATGGAGGGAATTGAAACCCCCCAGAAAAGAAATTCTAGAAATTGCATCAGGCGATAGCATTCTTAAAAACAAATTATAATATAAACAACCTTTTCCTAAGGGAGGGTAGGGTATGGTACAGCGCTAAACATTTAATTGGTAATATTAATATCAAAACAAAAAAGGGGAGATAAATTGTGAAAGCATTAGCTCGTTGAATCAAAATTAGGTCAATACACAGGCCATTACAAAATTTACTACATTTGTTGGAAATGAGTTTTGAAATACAATTATTGAAATCCTTTTATAATTTTAGCCCAGGCAGCTTCTCAGCAACTGCAAAGCACTAATACTGACCAAACAGTAATGGCACATACAGGTATGTTTATAATCTGGATTAGTGCAGCTTTTTAAAAATAAAAATGTTACAATTTAAAACTGCAAAGGATAATCACTATTTTAATGTGAATGGTAGATAGGGTCTGCCAACAATTGTTTTGCATACTATTCCGAATTGTGTGCAAATTTCATTATCTAATTTTTTTAGTTTTTCGTTATTAGTGGAAGATTTAGCCCTTTCTAATAAAGCTCCGGCAGTGAATCTGAATGGAACGAGAAAAACTATTGGTTGTAATTTTTTTAAAGTTGGGACCATCCTTCATTTTATTATTTACGCACTGATGGGGAGGTGGGGGTTGTTGATTATGGAAATTTGTGGCATGGGTAGTGGGGATTGGTGGGAGTGTCAAAGGATATAAAATATCCCCGCAACTGCTAGGTGCATCATCAGTAATATTTAGACTAGTCGCACCCCTTTTGTCTGCGACCTAGCTGATGACGTAGTTTTGTTAAATAATTATTTTGTTCGTCTGAACCGCGGCGATTGTGAAAAAAGAGAAAACTAGAGATGATTTTTAAAATAAAATACATTATCCAACTGTTCTGCACTGGAACGGGGGATTTGGACATAATTCTAAGATCTAGTCAGCAGCATTTACAAAATATATTATTTAGAACTCGCAAAGCAGCTCTATTCCCTCTATTTTAATACAACAGGTATACCTACTCCTGCTTAACATTTATCACCCCCCTCCCCCCCCAAGGATCGCCGATTCCATTAATGGTAACATTAAAATCATGCAATGTGCTCTTTAGGGACCTGGATAGCCCTTAACGTGGGGAGACTATATTGACAGATGTGCACATTGCATGATTTTAATGTTACCATTAATGGAATCGGCGATCCTTTTTGTTTTCGGCACTGTAGTTTAGCTTACTTAGTATATTACAATATGGCCTCGTATATTACAATATGGCGATGATGAGAAGAAACTTCTACCTCTACCGATAAACATGAGATGCAACAAAAGAAAGTTTATGAGCTTGAATATCAGACAACATTTACTTAGTTGCATTCTTCATAGAAGGGTCCATCAAACGCGGACTGCACAAACTGCAAGTCGGGCTTTTCATTAGAAATCAGGGTAGAAGGGGTGGTGTTGATTTAGGAGTTTGTGTATGGCGCGGGTCTAAATATATGCAATCAACACATTTTCGTAATGACGGTTTGGGGGGGGGGGGGGGGGGGGGGGGGGGGTGTTCCTGGGCAGAAAGTATGAGTATGTGCGTCATTAAAAAATTCTACAATATTCCTCCCGAACTCTGAAAGTCTAAAAATAGCATTTTATTTATATCTTGAATGCTGTAAAATACCACCCGATGTTTATTAGAAATTATTGTTGTCAAGAGGTATTTTCACAAATGAACTCGCTAGCTATACTCAGTAGTAGAGAAATTACAGTAATGTTTAGTCCACCGAATGTTCAGCGCACCTGTGACGTATAGTTCGTTGGGCTACGCCAGTGGTTTTAAAATTTTCATTTGCTGGTGCCTATGCCATATTAGGTTTTCACCAGGTTCCCTGTGAAATTCTAACAAATACACTTCGAAATAGCGAATACTCAAATAGAATAAAGGTTTGGATAAAAATAAATATAACACACATGTAGATCACTGAGTGCCATCTGTAACTGCAAACAGTAGTTACGCTTGTGTGTTACTGTTTGCACCACGGCCGAAAGCTGCCACATTGGATTAAAAGTGAAAATAAAGTTATGAAAAATTTGGCCCTGCAAGGAAGCCGAAGCAACCCATATAGAAAAAATGTGCACCCCCCACCTGGGCAAACCAGTAAAAGGACAATTTATTGCGCCCCTTGTCTTTGTGAAGTAAATGATATTTTATAGTTAAATTCACTGTTAAGTTCCTTTCTAAAGACGATTTTTGCGCCTGTTGCTCTTCGCCTATTTCTGATGGCCCTGCCCGAGGGCAACGAGCACCCAGGGTGATGTGGCGTATATTCTGGAAACCACTGGGCTGACCGAATCACCAGTGCTGAAAACAGTGGTGTCACATTTTGTTTACTGTAAATCATAATATATAATGGATTGTGTTAATTTTGTTACTATTGTTATTTAGGGTGGGGGGTGTCATTAAAAAAAAAGTACGCGTGCAAGGGGTGGGTGTGGTTTTACATAATTTGACTTTTATGGATACCGGTACGTGCTATATAGATGGCCCCCTCTTAGCATTTGTTTGCTTTGTATGACCTAATTTTATGACATTTATTTCTTACAGTGCGTTCCATTTTTTTACGCTAGCTTAACTCGATTCCACTGAACACGCCATACGAGTAGTTATTATATAAATAATATATACTGTATTTTTATTTATTTACTATTAAGATACTGTATTGTACGATTTTGAGAGGATATTGTACGATTTTAGGAGTTTGAGGGTAAAAAGGTCTGTTGACATGTTTTTTAATTATTTTTTCCTTCAAATTTTGTAATTTTGGTTAAGTATCAAAGCTTGATGAAATTATTGAACCGGTAACACATTTTAATGAGGGGCACCATTAGAACTGACTTTGTTACTCATCACTCAAGGTTTCACATATTAGTACAATAAAGACTGAGCATGTATACTGAAAGTTGTACAGTACAGGCATTAAAATGTATTTCTATTTCTTATAAAATTAAGCAGGTGCTACTCAAGCTTTTAACCCAGCCTTGTTGCCACCAGGATTCACCAACCCATTTATGCAACACCAAATGCCTGGACCTGGTGGTGTTGCAACTCCTGATGTTTCTCTGCAGATGAAGGATGCAACTTTGCAAAAACTTCCATCAGCACAAGTATGCTATTTTGTATTTTCTTGCTACTACAACATATTTCACTCCTAAAACTCATGTTAAATTTTGCTGTAATATAACTAGGTCTAAGTTCGTATCTTAAATCCTAATTTTTTGTTGATTTGGCTGCCATGATCCTACTTAAAATGCCATATTTTTTATTACAGAACTAAAAATTGTGAGATGTATCTTAACCCACGAACTGTGGTCGGCCGATAAAAAACAAGTCAGATAGCAACTTCCAATCCAATATTTAACCGGAATTATAGCCATGTCCTTTTATTAATAATTAAATCATCTTCCGGTTCAAGCTGTTTCGTGATAACTTGAAAATAAATACTTTTTAATCGGAGTTCTCTATCGCTTTTTTTTTAAAGCTAAAATGGTTGAAGCCATGGCTGGCCTTCCGTGCAAGAACTAATAAAAATATGTTTGAAAGCTTTTTAGGAGAGGTTTTAAGTGATACTGATGATGATTTTAACATTCCACATGACGATATCATTTGAGATTATTCTTCTCGTGAATTTTATACTAGTCTTAGTGATACTGAAGTAGGCCTACTGAGGCTACTGTTAGACTTCTAGCCAGGCCCGGAGTTTGGGCAAGGACTAACTGAATTTTAGTCACAGAAGCTACAGATTTTAGTTCAGAACTAATAAATTTTATAGTTAAACAACCCAAATCAGTTCCACAGTTCCCTTTTAAATGTTTACAAGTCAATAATAACTATTTTGCCTGAGATTTCGTATTTTGTATCTTTAAAAATTAATGATGTTATGAGCACTTGAAAGCAAGACATTGTGTCGATTTTTTTTCTTGAGAACTTCAAGGTCAAGGACACTGAACAAAATTTTTTTACGGGGTGGGCAATATGGTCAACACTATCCCCATCCATTTACCTTTCTAAAAATATATACTTATAGGGATCTTGTATCAATATTTTTTTATGTCATTTAATGCAATTTCAAATGGCACTCAAAACGCTCTGAAAAGCTCCACACCACAGAATGATGCATGCCACAGTTCGTGGCTTAAGAAGTTGCATATTTATAAGTGAGTCTAAATAAATTAATATAAATTTTATTTAAAAAATGTTACAACAAAATTTAATAGATGTTTCTACATTTATCTCTAGCTTCCTCCAAAGCCCCAGGAGGTTGCTGAATGGACTGAACACAAAAACACTGATGGAAAAAGTTATTACCATAATTCCCGCACTCAAGAATCTGTTTGGGATAAGCCACAAGTTTTGAAAGATTGGGAAGGTATGGATAAACATTTTAATTTTTTTTAAATCAAGCCAATCCTGAAATTAATCTTTTCCCAAATATTGTTGAGTCATGATAAAATAAGCTATATAGATTTTAAAAATAATTGTAAATTTTTAATTATTATTCTTCAACCTTTTTTCTCAATGTTAATTTGCTTCACTGTTGATTTTTATTAATCTATATATTTCTCTTATATCGTGCTTTTAAAGATAGTAGAAATAATTACATAATCACCAAGTAGAGAAAACATTGGAAGCATTTAATGTGAAGTATTATTAAATAAACTGTAAACTTTATCACTTATTATCATTACATATTTTCTGTACTTAATAATTTAAATTTTAATATAATTTTTTTAACAGCTAAGATTGAGCAGCTTCAAAATGTAGGTAATCAACAAGTGCAGTCGCAAGGACAACCAAGAGTTTCTGAAAACGCAAAAGCTGATACAGGAGACAGTTCAGAAGAATCTGACAAAGATGAAGAAGAGGTATATTTAATGAAAGTGATAAATGAATTCAGTGTTAAGATTGACTTTTGGATTAAGTGGTTAATAATTTATAGTTTCCCCAAAAAATTTTTTTTAATCACATTTCAGGAGAAAAGAGATAAACAAGAGGAAATGACTGAAGAACAGAAGGCAGCTGAAAAATCGAGACCTGTTTCAAGTACCCCAGTACCCGGAACGCCATGGTAAAATTATCCATTGTCAATTTTTATCTGTCATTACCAACACTCTAATGATGTTATAATTATTTTTTGAGGAAATTACTAATTTTACTTTATGATTCAGTTTGAATTACATTTTTCAGGTGTGTTGTATGGACTGATGATGGTCGGATATTTATTTTTTGAGGAAATTACTAATTTTACTTTATGATTCAGTTTGAATTACATTTTTCAGGTGTGTTGTATGGACTGGTGATGGTCGGTGTTTCTTCTATAATCCAAGTCAGCGACTTTCAGTCTGGGAAAAGCCAGAAGATCTTCAAAATAGACCTGATGTTGATAAATTGTTATCTTCAAAGCCCGATGCTAAAATTGGTGAGTTGCTTTTTAAATTTAACAGATTACAACTTTTTAATGTCATACTATAATTTTATAGGTTTTCGGTTTCAGTTTAATTTCAGCTGCAATTGTATCTTTGCTATTAATCATAATATAGATAACTTCCAATTTTTTAAAATGAATTTTAGTGGTTCCAAAAGCCCCCTCTTAAATAAATGTCCATACAATTTTAGAAAAAAATTATACAAAAAAATTATACAATATACCTTATATGTTCATTTTCATGGTCTAGCCCAGGGGTGGCCAGACCTGTAGTAACTGAGAGCCATTTTTAAAATAAAAAAAATTGTTGAGAGCCGCATTGAAGCACTATTGGTCAGGACCCCACTCGCAATGAACAATTCTGTTTGTGATTTCTTTTTAAAAATTACTTTTTATTCGAATTTAATGATTTAAACATTTGAATTGTTTTAACCCTAACCGTATGTTGAAGAAATATATGTGTTACAGTTACACAATTGAATAAATATATGCGTTACAGTTACACAACTGAAGAAATATATGAGTTACAGTTACACAATTAACAAATATTTAAATATGTAAAATTTATGAATAGAAACACACTGAATATATACTCATAACTCATAATTATAGCGAACATTAATTGTTATGATTCTGCTGAGAAGCCTATGAACTAGCAAGTTTCTTTAAATCTGGTTGGTAGCTAGTAGTTGTGGTGATAAGAAATTCTGTCAGATGCTGGTTACTAGTTACTGAACGATGCTTTGATTTTATGAACTTCGTTGTGGAGTACAAAGATTCACAGCAGTAAGTTGTACCGAAAACCGGAACCAGAAATTTAACAGTTCACATCACCAACCAATCGCTCCCTTCAACTTTTAAAATTTAAATCAATCCCAAATTATTTTCAACCCTTTGTTTCAGTCAAGATTTTTTTTTTACACTTTCATTTATTTTTTATATTATATATTTCAAACGAAAAGTTTTAATTTCATAAATTGTTGGCGAGCAGCAATGTGAACACAGAAGAGCCGCATGCAGCTCGCGAGCGGTTTGGCCACCGTTGGTCTAGCCTATCAGAGAATTAAATTTATGGCATCTTAACACCTTAGAAAGCAGTATTTAAAATCCCCCAAATGCCATTTTGTTAGGTATAGTTAGAAAAATTCTCTACGTGCCACAAAGAGGGAATTTTTGTGACCCACTTGATTTTTAACTAGTAATGTTAAAGAAGACATCAAAAGATTTAATTAATACTGCAAGTTTAGTCCGATTGCTATTCCTTGACATTTTCAAAGCTTTCGAGATTTCAAATTGTCTTTTAGAAACTTACATTACCGGTCTAAAAGGTTAATTTTTGTTCATTAGAGAAAAAGAAAGAGGAGAAAGAAGAGGAAGAGGAGCCACCATCAAAGAAGAAAAAGTAAGTAAAACAAGTGTCTTTGTAAATAAAAAAAACAGCTAGTTCTCCACCATTTTGAAGAAAATCACTTCTGTTGTCATGAAAAATTTATTTCTTCCTTGTTTAGCTTTAAAAGAGAAGGCCCAGAATCAGAAACTTTGATTTTAGATGTTTCTAAATTTTTATATGTGAAAAATAATTACAATGTTAATTATATGGATTCAATATTTTTTGGAGAAAGAAGACTACCCCCCTTAAATTCATCAGTTAGTTTAAATTTAATTCTTCAACTTTCCAGAACCGAACCTGAGCCTAAAGAAGAAAAAAAAGAAGGTGGTCCTAAGCAAATTGATGTTGGCAAAGAAGCTGCCATTGAAGCAGAAGTACAAGCTGCTCGACAAAGGGCGATAGTTCCTTTAGAAATTCGCATGAAACAGTTTAGAGATATGTTAGCAGAAAAGGAGGTTAGTTTACAGAGTCAATGTATTACCTGTTTCTGTAATTAATGCACATATTTTTTTGCATTTTTAAAATACTTTTATCAATCGTTTTTGTAAATTAAATACATTTCTTTTGAAAGACAATTTGATAACACCGAATTTATTAGGCATCTTAAAATATTTTGAGGGTCTTATTTGTAAATATCAAAACAGGTTTCTGCTTTCTCCACTTGGGAAAAAGAGTTGCATAAAATTGTGTTTGACCAGCGGTACCTTTTGCTAACTTCCCGTGAGCGCAAGCAGGTATTTGAGCAATATGTAAAGGAGAGAGCAGAAGAAGAACGCCGGGAAAAGCATCGCAGAATCAAAGAGAAGAAGGAATCCTTCAGACAATTGATGGAAGAAAGTAAACTACATGGAAAGTAAGGAACTATTGAATTAAAATATATTTTACAATAAAAATTAACAATTAGTTCTGCTTCTTTTTGCTGAACTTCACTGAAATCACCTTCTGGTAATTTTTAAAATTTAAACTTTTAAAATTTACTTTAGAAAGTAAGCTTCGTGATAATTTATCTTTGTCATTATGTATTTGGCAGCAATTGAAAGGAACCCCCTCCCCCCGCTTATGTCCAACTTATACCATTCCCTTTGAAATATGTCTTGTGGTGTTCCTCTTTCCTGTTGGTGCTTTGGTGGCATCTTGGGTATTGTAGATTTTACTTGTGGTGTATAAGCCCTAAAAATTGCAACTGTTGATAAATTTTATCCTAGATAGTGCTGCCAAGGTATTTAAACTGCGTGACCTCCTCAAGGATCTTGTTACTGACTGCTTTATTCCCTTAAGGGAAATGTTGAACACATAAACTTGTACTTTTGCTATTTGGCTATCTTTAACAGATTACTGTTTTTGCCTGGTGGTCATTGTAGTCTTGTATTTTCTAAAGGTGCTATGTTGCCAGCAAAATCGATATCAAAGAATTCAGTTTATACAGTATTCTTATTTTGGTAAATGCATTAAAATGCATTTATTAACCTTGATGAAATTCTGTCAAAATTTGCCACAGAGATAACCTTTAAACACTGACAAAGGCCTACAAATCTACAAACATTTTATGATTAACTTTTGAAACTTGTACATTTGCTCTACATTGATTTTTCTAAATGCAAATTTATTTCCCTATATGACTTTCAATGTTTGTGAACAAGCCTACATCCCTCAGACAGACAGGATCATAGATAATGCTCTTCAAAGTTTCAGTAGCTGCTTGATATCCAAGCAGTTATTACAATCTGCTGTTTCCTCCTTTGATAGTTAAGCTATCACACCGTTTCTCCAGTAACTTGGAATGCTCTCATCTTGCCAGGAGTTGTAGAATAATTAGGTTAACACCTCCAACCTATGGTCACCATCCAGTTGTAACATTCCTAGAGCAATCTGATCCAAACTTGGTGCCTTATTTTTTTATATTTATTATAGGCATTTGTCAGACCCTTCCGATTTTGTCGGAATTTTACAGATTATTTACCCCTCATTCCGACCTTCCAACAAACCCCTTAAAATTCAGATTTTTATAATATTGCACCCGTCATAAAAATTTGCAAGCGATTTTTAAAAAGACAGGAAGTGTTGCATTTGTTTTTATGAAGTGCATACATGTCCTGCGACCGGACAAATAAGTGAATAAATTCTCGAGATATTCTTCCGGCTATTATATATTCGACCAAGTCACATGACCACTGTAACAAAATTGCTCGAGATATTTGTCAGTCAGCCTTGTCATGTGATCACTATTTGTCGATCAGAGTTTACGGTACTTCATTTCAACAAATTCAAGATAGTCTGGACATTTACACGAAAAAGAAATATGTTCAATTATTCAAAAGAAATACTAGAACAAATGAATAATTGGTTAAAAAGTGTCAATGTTTTTTATAAAGCGTGGCATGCCTGCTGGATGATGTTTCCTGCACTATATGTCCGGTCACCTGACGTGTAGACACTGCCTTGTTTTTATCCAAGCGAACCGGGATCTTCAAATCATTCTTCAATCATCAATTGATCAGATCGTGATTCATCCTTTTTACAAGGCTAAAAAAAATTCAAACTTTTTTTTGTGAAAGCTTTTCTTAATTAAATTGTTAAACCAATTGAAAGTGATGGGTACAATGATATTAATAAATATATATTTTAAAATCCCCATAGTCATTGAGTAAATGTAAGTTTTACAAGTCAATAATTTGATGTGAATTGTATTATACTCCAAGATTAGTTAAATTATTCCTTAAATGCTAATTTTTTTTTTTTTGTAATGTTTTTTTTGTAAGATCATCCTTCAGTGATTTTGCTGCCAAATATGGAAAAGATGAACGTTTCAAAGGTATCGATAAAATGCGAGAGAGAGAGAGCATGTTCTTGGATTTTGTCAGCGAACTACGCAAGAAGGAGAAAGAAGAGAAATCTGTATTAAAGGAAAAGGTAAATATATCCTATCATGTTATAAATAAATTGAGTCACCCTAATCTTCAGAAAAATAATTGGTTTATAAAACTTTCATCAAGAATTTAAGGGTAAATAATTACATGGTTGACAGCAGATCTGAAGTAAAAGCAAGATTGAAATCAACATTATTTTTCTTAAGATTAGAAGGTAGCTAGCTTCATAGGTTTTGTTAACTTATCAAATATATCACTTTGTTAATCTAATGCTAATTTTAAATTACCTGTTATGCAGGAAATTCTATAATAATGAATAGCAAATATATTATGGACTACCTTTGAATAATATTATTTACAATTGTTTTTTATTAAAATGTTTATGCTTATGTTGTCCTCTGATTTAAAAATAGGAGTTAATTTTATCTTAAGAAATTTTATAAGCAAAGTGATATCTTTGTAAAAAATATAATTATATTTTTAACTAACATTTTTTAAAGGTCATAAAGCATTTGTGGAAGCAAAATATGCTGTATTTTCATATAATGAAAATAAATAAAAAAGGCAATATAATATAGTCTAACAAAACCTGTGCAAGTCTGGTTTCTGTATTATTTTGAAACAAATGTTTTTGTCTTGTCTTGTCTTGTAATTTATCTGGATAAAAGATTTGTTTCCCTGAGATATGTAAGTAATCTTGGGATGCCATTGCTTAAGTGATAGATATATACATCACTTTTGAGGTTTCAAGATTAAATTTCCATTATGTGCTTAAAGAATGATTACGTGAATTAAATATAATAAAATCTTAATAGTAAAACAACTAAAACTTATTTCGTTTTTGGTTTCTTATATTCTTTAGTTGTTTAAAACTGAAACAATGATTTTCAGTTAAAATTAATATTTATCATGATACTTTATATCTGATTTAGATATTTTGTCTATACGAGATTTGTATGTCACGTCTTTTTTTTCCAGCACAGTCAAGTTTGATTTCATTGTGACAGCATGCTTTAAAAAAAATCTCCAACATGTACTATAAATACTTTTCAACATTGTTATTATGCTATTTCCACCTCTTCTTCTTTTATGCACATAAAAACATGTTAAAAATAATTATATTTGGAAAGTTTTATGCGTCTAATACGTCAAGTTTGGGAGGATGACAAAATTAATTATCTGTGTATGAGTGTAACAACAGATTTCTTTCCTCAGCCAGCAGAGTTGAAACACCTTTGAAACTTTATTTTCATGCCTTCCTTTTAGAATTTAATAATTTCTTTTTAGCTTTTCATCTTTGAAAATAATGAAGCTTATGAGTCTACATAGAAATTATTTAGGTTAAGATTGATTTGTTTGTGAATATAAAGTAATTTTTTTTCAGCAATCTTATCCTCTCATCTTTTTCGTAAGTCTTGTGAATTGAGAAATCCTAATATTTTTATTTCAAAATTCTTTTTGAACTAAAGGTTTTAAACATGCTTTCAATGCATGTTATGAGTTATGAGGGTAGATTTATTTGAAAATTAATTTCCTAAACATATATTAGCATTTACTATATTTATATGTATATATACTGTTAATGTGTGACTTTCCTATTTTTAAAAACCAGTAGCATGTATAATTAAATGATTGATTTGGCTAGATTATTATTATTGCTGTCAAATAAGGAAAGTAATGACATAGCAATATTTTACATAATTTTCTCTAAAATTCTAGCTATCTAAGGTTTTAGTGAAAACATTTATCAGTAGTTTATTGATTTGAAAAAAAAAATTTTGTTCCATCTTTTAACATCATCTTAGGTTTGACATTTATATTCATCGTATGAATTTTAAAAAAAATATTTTAGTTCTAAACATGTTCCTGATTAAATCAGCTTTGAAAGTAAATGTTATGATAATATTTACAATTAAATATTATTTTTAATTGATTGCATAGTTTCTAGATAAGTAGAATTTATAGCTGATTTATAATATAATTACACTGAATTCTTCAAATATTGATACAGTAAAGTTTCAAGTATAAAATTGATTTGGCTGATATTCTAACGTTGTCAAACTTTGTGTTCCCCCCATGGAAGAAGAGGAAGATTGCATCTGGAAGCTGTAGACAGCATGGTTGATCCTGGTCAGTTGCCAATGCAATTTGACCCTGGTGCGGAAATCCTAGTGCTCGCTATGTGGTGGTCTGACCTGGTATATAGCACCAATACTTTTATTTACTTTTTCTTGTCATCCTTTACATTACTCAACATAAACATAGTTGTCTTTCTGTCTACCCCTCTTTAAGTTCTATCATATTAAAACAAAATTGTATATTATTTTTAAAGGATTATGCACTGGAGATGAGGCATAATCAAAAGCAAGGCATCTCTTTAATGGAATCAGTATTTTGTGTAGATGCAGAGATTTGAATTGTTGTATCGTGTTAAAAATAAATGTTTAGAAAAATGGGTGGGGGAGAGTTATTTGTTTTACCAGTACTAAAATAAATTAACATGATTTGCCATCTGCATAATTTTGTTTGTCCGCTATTTTTTAAAACACTTTTTGAAATTAAATATTTTCCCCTTGCTATTGGTTTGCTGTTGCCATCTCATTAAATTGGATAGGAACAAACAACAATATGGCTAATTATTATTCATTAGATGGAGGCAGCACATCAATGCATTTTCTAATTTAATAAATTAAAGAGCTGATGTTTAAATTATGCTATCAATCAACCAAATAGTGGGCATTCTAGAGTCATGAATTTCTTGAATTTTGTATGCTTATTGTTTAAACATATGCCTTTATTTCAGGAAGTATGAATGAGAAACTGTTGTACTTTTTACATAACAACTCTGTACACATCTGTGAGAGAGCATGTTATGAATGAGAGGAAAATAGTGAATGAGATGGCAATTCTCTGGTGCATTGTCACAGTAATGTATAGTGCCATTTCATTGGATTCATTTATTTGTTCAAGTGAAGAATTGCAAGTTTCCCTTTTGGAAATAAATACATTTCTAGTTAAAAGCACTTAATTAAAAAGTGGGATAAGGGATAATCGTTCTTATGGAAACTTGTATTCTTCATGTATGTGATGTTTTCAAGCTTGTCTTTATTATAATTCTTCTTGAAAACAAGAGAATTAAAATACATGTTCTAAGACAGTTTGAACCAATATGTAATGTGTTTATATGAAATTCATTAATTTATTTTTGGGGGTTTAATTGTAGCATCTTACATTGCAAGAATAACGATAAGGAAAAACTCCTTTAAAGTACCTTTAATTGATTTGTAACATGGCTTTAAAAAAAAAGGCAATTATTTTTTTCTGCTTATATTTTTTTTAGTACGAGAATTAAATTTTTTTTAAAAATTAAGATCAATCTATCATGATGATTGCTGTTATCTTTTTCTATTATCTATTTAAACATAACATGTGTAAACTATTTTATGTATAAACATATTCTTTATGGTTAAATCTTATTACTCTCTAACCTAAACTATTTCCTTTCAGTTGAAGTCAGATTTCTTGAAACTACTGAAGGAAACTTCTGGCATTGAAAGAAACTCAAGGTGGAGTGAAATAAAGAAGAAGATAAACTCTGATCCAAGATATGAGGCGGTTGACAGTAGTTCTCGTAGAGAAGATTGGTTCAAGGATTATGTTAAAACATTAGATGAGGTTGGTATAAACATTAATGCTACCGTCATTGTAAAAGAGAGTTGAGTGTCTATTTTTCTGAATTAACTGGGACTGGTTCAGATAACCTATTTTTCAGCTAATCAAACCATCCCATGGAAAGATTGCATTAAAAAAGCATAGTGCATATAATACAATATATACTCTTACCTTACATACGTATGGTACTTTATTGTACATTGTATTGTGTATAGTAATCTCAACAATAATGTATCTGGGTCAGCCGATAGATGTCAAAAACTGGTGAGGTTGTTTCCACAAATATATGACTGGGGCTTAGAATAAAATTCAAGGTCACTGTCTTTGCTGCTGGGTATTATGAGATTTGTATGAAGAAGTTTGCAGACTGCTTTATCCCAGTCTGGTCACTGCATATACACTATCTAGATTTTAACTGGATTGTGTGACAGGGTCGAATTGTTTTCCGGTTTTTCTACCCCAATGCTTCTTGGTATGCACATTGCTTACAAAATAATATTAGTATAATATAGAAAAGTTCCCTTTGGATAATCTGCCTTTGTAGAATTGACACTCTACTATAAAGTGTATATTATATATTACTGAATATGTTATTTTTTAAAAATAAATTACAATTTTTCTACTTTGTGTAAAAAATTAAACATGTCTAATTATGACATTAATTGGTCAAAACATTTTAATACCAGTATTATTATATATTCACTTTCAGCTTTTTACAAAAAATTTATCAGTTATTTCTATCTATATAGAAAAAAATGTCTCAGGCCACCTCAGAAGATGAAGAACGCAAAGAACGAGAGAAGCAAGAAAGAATTGAGGCTAGTATCAAGAAGAGGGAGGAGGAAGTTAAGCAGTCTTTGTCTTCTTCCTTAAGAGAAAGAGACAAAGAGCGTGAACAGCATAAAAAAGATGAAGCAATTCAACATTTTAATGCTTTGCTTGCTGATTTGGTAAGTTGTTCAGTTCATGTAATGTAGTATTTTTAAAAATTTTAAATACCATGTTGAAGTAAATTGTATTTTAAAAAAAAAGGTACTAATCACTCTTCATTGCACATGAAAAAAAAATCTTAAATTTGAGAAAATGTAAGACTTTTAATATCTAACTTCAAAACTTGGCAAAGTCACTGGTAAAAACAGTCTAGAGTAGCACTAATATAAATATCATTAGTTTTATCAAGTATCATGTGGAAAATCTAGATGTCTTTATGACTTTTAAAAAATTTTAAAAATCCATTATATAACTTTGCTTTTGTTCATGTGTTTCTGGTTGGGTGGCAAAATCTTTGGACAATTAATTGACCCACTTCCTGTCAACCTATCGAGCTGAAACTTGGCTTAGATACTGTTGCAGATGACAACACATTCCATCAAATTTTCAGCACCACCCACCAACCCCCAAAAATCTGTTTTTCAAGGGGAAGTTGAAGGAAATATGATGCCACTGATTTCAGTAAATAAAATTCCAGATAACTGCACTGCAAGTGCATTTGGTGCATAATATTTTCTTTTTTTTCTTAAATGTTGAAAAAGCGGGTGGGACATTAAGAAAATAAGTATAAAATAAAATAATAAAAAATGCATTTAAAAAAGGATTTATAAAAAGTTTTTTTTTAACCTTATTTGATCATTATCATAAGTGAAATTTTTATATTTCCACATTTTAATGATCATATTAAAAATGTATTTTAGGTGAGGAATAATGAAGTTACATGGAGAGATACTCGTAAGCAGCTGCGTAAAGACCACCGGTGGGAACTCACAGATTCATTGGAAAGGGATGAGAAAGAGAAATTGTTTGATACTCACATTGAAGGACTCTACAAAAGAAATCGAGCAATGTTTCATTCTTTGCTAGATGAAACTGAGGTAAAATAAATTTAGAATATAAGACTATGTATTTTCAATAATAATTCTCATTTTTTAAATTTAAAATAAAAAATATATTTAAAATCATGTACTATTTTTATAGATCATAAGTTTTATATGGTTCACTCATATGTTATTCCCTTTCAACAAAAAATGTTTTGTTATCGTAATTTTTCTTCATCTGAAAGTTTGTGTCTCCTTTTATAGGTTTTTAAATTAAAATGTTTTTTTCATCAAGATTTCATTAACATCTACTTGGAAGGAAGTGAAGAAGCAAATAAAGGAAGATCCTAGATACAGCAAATTTTCTTCCAGCGACCGTGTAAGAATAAAACTTTCTATTAATTACTATTAAAGAATATGATTTGCTTTAACATTAGTGGTATCAACTTTTATGTACATCACTTGTGGGTTACACTGATTTTGAGGAGAAGAGATAATAAAATATCATCTTACTTGGAGCGGCCCAATTTGGTCATTGCTCTCCCCCCTTCCCTCTCTCTTTCTATCTCTCTCTTTTCATTTCCATCTGATGACATCATCAACTTTTAAGCTTGTTTTATTTTCTAGTTTTATTTCATGCAGCTGGACTTAAAAATGCCTTCATAGCACTAATTTCTTTTAATTAGCTTATAGTAAATACATATTGGAACAAGATATCAATAAGCTTGAAAAGAAAAAAAACAGGACAATTAAACTGTCACTACTGAATATGTGCAGAGCAGAAGCCGAGTCTAGAAGTTTTTGAATCTTCAATAAATTGTTCTATTTTTTGTGGCATGATTTATTGTTGTGAACAATTGTGTTCTTTTTGGATTCGTAGAATTTTTTATCCTCTAATTGTCCTTGGGCTTCTTTAATAAAGAAGTTTTTATCCCAAACCGACAAAGCACCACACTTATCTGGAGTTTAAACCACCTGTCATCACATGCAAAACATCGATTCTTTTTAATTGATGTCTGCTCCTGCCTCATACACGTTAATTCCGCATTCTGACGGATTTAAAGCTTTGAGATTCTTCCTCGAAAACAAACAACATCCATCAATTTATACTGATTCCCTTTCCGACTGGCCAACTGGTACTCACCTTCAATTCTTTTGAATTTAATAGTAATTTCTTTGACCAAGTTAATGGTGTTGCAATGTGTACCAAAATAGGCCTAGTTATGCCTGCCTTTTTATACATGGTAGAGAAGGCATACATTTTACAAAAGATACATGGATGATCGCATTCGAAACAAGTTAACTCGAACAATTTAATGATTTTCCAAACTCATTTCACCCATCTATTAAATTTGCTTAAAAAATCTCTGAGAATTCTGTAAACTTTTTGGATAAAACAAATCATTCACCTCTGCCTACTACAAACCATCTAACAGTCATAGTTACTCTTTGTATTCATCTTCCCACCCCAAGCAAAGACCTTTTTTCCAACTTCTTAAGACTACATCGCTTCTGCTTGGTCAGATAGGGCAAATAAAAAGGATGAACTTCTTGCAATCCAGATCTTATCAAGAGACTGTCCTTATTTCAGCACTTAGTTTTATCAGCACAATCACACATAATGAGTCTTTTAAATCTTGTTTAAACAAAGATGAGGGTTGAATAAAACTCATCCTTAGCTAGCACCCTCACAACATGATTGCCAAAATAATATTCTTGAATAGTCATATTCTCCTTGCTGACCTTGACACTAACAGCCTAACATGGTATTCTCATCGACTCCACTTATTGTCTTCAGATGGGATAAAAATCTATGTGAATTTCTGGTTCACAGTTGCCTTTGGGCTGAGTCCTCTAATGTTGGGACTAAACCATGTTCAAGTAGCTGTTTTAGGACTTGCCCCTATGTATTGGAAACTAAACTATTGTCTTCCCTAAGGGGATCTTTACTATCAAAAGGGCTTCACCTGTACCATTAGAAATGTAAGCTTTTTTTTTACCGAAGATGCAGCTCCTGTTATGTAGGTGAGACAGGAAGAAGGCTATCTGATAGGCTTAGAAAACATCTTCGAGATATTTAACAAACAAGCCATCCCCAGTCACATCCGATTTCATGGCTTTAATTTCTTGCACTAATACACCAGTGATGAAGAATGGAAAACAAATTAGTTCAGATTTTTTGTACCATATCACCAAATACTACTTATTTCTTTTACCTTGATAGTGATAGTACACACCACAGAATAAAGTGGGGCGCAAGTTTTTGTTCTGAACAGAACAACTTAACTTCCATTTTCTAACTATTTCATTTCTATCAAAATTCATAGAGTGCCTCCTGTACTATACATTGAGCTACAATGACATTTTTGTGATTTTTGAAAACAAGAGTTTTAATTTATAGTATCTGAGATCTGTTGTTTCTTGTTTTGTATTGTCTGTTGAAGAAGGCTTTCAGCCGAAATGTCCGTTTATTTGCCTGTATTTTCTTGTCAAGCCTAAACATATCTTGTGTCACTATATATTTACTTTACATGGCTTGAACAGCCACTCATACTTTACCTTTATAGTTTGAGGCTCGTTTTTTTTACCTTCGTTATTAACAAAATATTGCTTAAAAGAACTATTTAAAGTAAAATGCATTTGTAAAACGAAAAAAAATTTGGAGGATACATCCAACCCACTTTTAGACCAGCGGGATCATGGCAAATTCTTCCCTGGGTGTTATATAATTAAATAATTACTCTTAAAGTCAATATTTTCTTTATGATGGCTTTTTGTGCTTGAGAAATACTTTTAAATGTCTAAAGGTTTGGTTTTAATTGCTGTAGTTTAAAAGTTTTCTCAAACAGAAGTTGTATTATGTCCTGAAAATAAATGTACAGTGGGTGGCCGAGTGGTCTAAACTGAGCCAATCACAAGTTCATGCCTGGAGTTCAATCCCCACCAAATCCAAGTCAAGCACACAAAAAAACTTTATCAGCACCCCAGGTGGATGGGACTCCTTAGCCTTACATGCCTACTCATGATTAAATAAAAAGGTTAAGGACAGTGGAGCTTTTTTATAAGTAGGGTCAATAAAATTGGATTTTGTTAAAATCTCAATAGAGGGATTAGGCAATAGAAGGGTTTTACAACATACTTGCAAATAGTATTGGGATTTTTGTATTGGATGATAGGTATTGTGTTTTAAAAATTGACCTTTAAACCCCTTGTAGTTGGACTATTGTTAGTGAATTTGTAATAGTGTTGTACAAGGATAAAAACCTTTTTTTTAAAAACTCTTATTTTTACACCCATACTCTGTAAAAAAAAAAAAAATTTTTAATAAATTAAAAAAAAAAAAGAATTTTATTATTATTTACCAATAAAAAAAATTAATAAAAACCTTTTTTTTAAAAACTCTTATTTTTAAACCCATAATCTGTAAAAAAAAAAAAATTTTTAATAAATTAAAAAAAAAAAAAGAATTTTATTATTATTTACCAATAAAAAAAATTTCAGGAGCTTTGTCACAACCATTTTAAATCTTATCTGAATTGGGATTATAGCTGGGTTTCACTGTACCTTAGAAATCAATTAATTATAAAAAATCAACATTGCCTCTTATCTTTGCTTTTCTTTAATGGTCCAGCTCAGAAACATTTTTTTTTTAAAAACCTACCCTTTTGCATAATCAGAAAGAAAAGAGTCATCTGATGGATCAATATTTAAAAAAAAAACTATTTTCAAATACAGTTCCTGAGAAAATGTTTCCATGGAACATTGGGTTTGTCAGCCTCTATGATTGTAAACAGGAAATGAATTGTTGCTTTGACAATTATTTCTGTACTGTAAAATAAATCAAATAACAAAAGCACAACAAGAGTTTTCAATTCTGAATCCACCTAAAGGTTTTCTTTAGGATTATTAAGAAAAGATACATAAGCCTGGCAAAATTTGAAGTGTACGGGTATACTGGAGGAACATTTCACATTTTCTGTAATATTCATGCATTTTCTGAAAAGATAGTAAATAGAGGCTTATTGAAGACTGCATACAATTTAGAATTATATAATTTACTTCTTTGCAGAAACGGGAAAAGGAATTCACTGAATACATGCATGAAAAATTTGTAAATGCAAAAGCTGATTTCAGGGAGTTGTTAAGAGAGACAAAAGTAATTACTTACAAGTAAGTATATTTTTTTACTAATAATGCTTTATTTTATAAGTCTTGTATGCTTTTTTTAAAAAAAGGTCATCAAATTATTTTTTGATTGTTGCATAAAAAAGGAATACCGGTATTACATTTTTACACATTGCATCAATCAGGACCTTTTTTAGAATAATTTGTCATCTAAATAGAATTACCATTAAATAATATAATAGCATAGGAAATCAAAGTAAACTAAGGTATTTATGATGCATTATTGGCATGCATTTCTATTCTTATGCTTACATGTAGAAACATATCAGGGGTGAACCATATAGTATGTTTTCAACGGAGAGTGGACCGTGAACGCTTTAAACGCAGCGTTTTCTGTCAACCCGACGTCACTCAGGCCAAGGGGGGGAGGTTCTCGACATGCTTCTGCATGGTCTGGCGGTGGGGAGACCCGGCGTCTGGCCCGTGTGTAGGTGTGGGGGGGGGGGGGGCGCGGGGGGGGGGGGGGGGGGAATTAAGAGCTCGCGCTCGACGACCCACCAACGCCATCTCCAATGTGACATTATTAGTATTTTTTCTTACTGGGGGAGGGGGATGTCGATTTTGATAATGTGTAGGAATGCGTATGGGTGGGGGGTCTCAGCATAAAAAAGTTACATTCACAAATTTTGCAATAATTATCCTGAAATTAGGAGTCTGTAAATAACCTATTTATATCTATAATTATAATGCTCTAAAAATATCACACAATGATTTGTAGGAATTTTTGGTGTTTTCACAAGTTCTTTGAACTTGCTAGATATCACTCTAGTAGTAGTAACAATTGGCATAATAGTTAGCCCACTGTTTGCCTCTCTCTCTTCTGTGGTTTGCCTTAATTGTATGTTCTACATGCATATGGCTATTTCCATGGTTCCTAAAGTTTTCTATTTCCGCTCTCCTCGCCGAATTAAGGTTTTCCCCAGGTGCCCTATGCATAGTATAGTTCTAACTAAAGGTTACACCTCGAAATACAGTGGGTCCCCACATAACTTATCCGTTCCGGAACAGCATTTGTTATGCAGGGAATTTGTTATGATGATCATGATTTCCCATAAGGTCCCTATACAAATTTAATTTGTTCTGAGTACAAAGAAACTTTTAAAAAAGATTGAAACAGTTTAAAAAAAATTTTTATAGAACTGCCCGACAATCCAAAAGAAATAAAAAATAGTTCCCCCACTTATCCAAACAATTGTCAAAAGAATTAACACACCAAAACATAAATAAACCAAAAAACTTGCCAACACACAAGAATGGCACTGACTCCTGTTCCCATTCAGAATTACTTAGAGTGATGCCATTTGTAAGTAGGATGTTTTTCTGTGGTGGTATACATCGATGAGGTTAGTTATTTGAGTTTGCTATACGAGTCATTTTTGGGAAAAACGTCCATGTTTGTCATGCCATTTGTTCATTATGAGTTATGTTCACCCACTGTAGCTACACTTTTTAAAGATAAAGGATTGTTAAATACACATATATAACAAATGTAGGTCAATAAGCACCATCTAGTAACTGCAAACAGTTATTATTCAAGTGAGTTACTGGTTTGCACCTGGCCCACAAGACGTCTCATTGGATTAAAAGTGGAAATAAATTTATGAAAACTGTAATATTTTGTGCTGACTTTTTGAGGCAGCCATGAGACCCCAGGGCGGTGCAGAGGAAAAGTTGCGCATGGGGTGGACCAGTAATTAAACAATGTGACGCCCTTTGTCTGGGGGTGGGGGTGTGTGTCAAAATTGGGCTTTATTTGGGCATGTACAAGATGGATGGTCCCTAAGCCTGTGTAATATGTGTTATTTAATAGCTACACCTGATATTTTTTAACACGACTATCTTTATCTCAGGACCAAGAAAATTTTGGAGGAGACAGAAGGGCATCTAGATGATATTGAAAAAGTTCTGGAGGTTAGTATAATTTAATTCTCAAATTTACAATCCCACATTTAAAAATATGTGCACCCAACTTCTAGAGAAAAAAAAAATGTTACACTGCTAAATAAATTTACAGTAACACACTGGGTGACCTTTCTTTTAATTTACAATTTATTCCCTACCATATTTTGATGAAAAAATATCCCTCATAATGTGAGAAAATTATATTCACTCAATGATATCTGTATTTTATTCTGGGTTTCTTGAATAAACCTTTTGACAAATGCAATTTAAACTGGTGTCATCCAATAAAACGTATTTAAAAGTTAATGTTTTGAATCTTTTATCAATATAAATGCTAATTTTTTTTGTATTTCTTTTAAGAATGACAAGCGCTACTTGACCCTGGATTGTGTACCTGATGAGCGTAGAAAGATCCTTCTTTCACATATTGATGAATTACATCAGAAAGGTGTTCCACCACCACCAACAGCATCTGCACCATCTCACAGGGGATTGAAATAATACAGGGATGTTTCATGAAAACATTTTTTTTTAAAAATTAATCCATTCACTTACTTGTGTAACAGTGATTTTTTTAGATTGATAAAGCACTTGGATTTAAGTCATGTTAAATTTGAATTTTTAACGCAGCAATTTTTGGGGTGGGGTATGTTAATTTTTAGACTATCATTTGGGAATTTTGATTGTTAAAATTGACATTTTTTGTTGTTACTTTTCTTTTGCAAGACTTGGAATTTGTGTTATGTAATTGCTGCATTCCAAAAAAAAAAAAACTTTAACAGTATATATAATAATTCAAGCGTCACAAAATTTTTTTTTTTACTGTAATTGTTTTTTTCAAATAAACTTTTTCTAGGCATTAACTTCATATTCTTGCTCTTAAAATTTTTTACCCCTTTGCATAAAGAACCCCCCAAAAAAACTCTTAGAGGATTAAGACAATTTTAAATATATTTTTATTTTATTTTATTGATAATTGAATGCTAAGTTGAATGTTATTTTTTTAGGAATTAACATAATTCCCAAAAAAAGACTATATAAATCTATTTTATTTGTCAATTCTTTTTCTTAGAGGCTTATTGTTGCGTTTTTTTGTTTTTTTTTCATGGTATATGGAGTCAATTTTATATATTTGAGAAAATTCACATTTAGACTATTTAGAGTTTGAGTTCCTTACATAACTGAATTGTAAAGATTACACAGACTGCTGCTTAAGACTATCTCTTAAGTTGAATTAAATGTAATTTTTAAAAATAAAATGCTGTTATGTTTGGATGCTGACATTAAAATCATTTATTACTAATTACCCTTTTACTCATTAATTCTTACATGAATATCATTTTACATTAAACATTACTTATTCAAGCTTCATAAAAGTGTTGAATAGTGGGATTGGCTATCTTCTTTAACTTTAAGGTATGATAAAATTTTTAAAAATTTCATCGAACCATGTGATATGGTCAGATTTGTCCTTTCAAATTTACTTTGCCTTTTGACAGATGTAGATTTTGATGGAAGCTTAGAAAGTCAACAAAATGGGAATGCCACAAATTTTCATTATAGAATGCAGTGGTATGTCATAAACTTTAAAAAGCCAATAGTAAAATCAGAACAATATTATGCACTTTTAATACTGCTTTGAGAAACACTATTGGTCTCAATGTTTATTTACATATGAAAACTGTACCTGAGGCTGCTCTAGAAAGTGTGTTTAAAAAAAGGCTGGTACTTCTACTGATGTATTATACTTATAGTATAACTTAAATATTTTAATACTACTACTAATACTTACCAATAGTAATTTTCTATGGCAGCGTTTTTTAACTGGGGTTGCATCATTGCAGGTGGCAATGTAAGAACATATAAAAATAACATAATATAATAAAGTTCATTTCAAAAACACGCTTCATCCCCAAAGGCTCGAAGCGAGGTAAAAAGTCAACAAAAAACATATCTATAATTTACCACATTTAAAACAAACGCAACACTACAAAAACTAATTACAAGCATACAATCTCAAAATCTTTCTAGCCATTTCAACCCGGAGCAACACAGCCATTATGCATTAACTGGAAAATAAGGTAGACAATCATCCCAGAAGGTATTTGCGAAATAGATGTGTCTTTAGATCGGTTTTAAAGGACTCCAGTGTCTGGTTGTTTCTAAGATCGACAGGAAGGGCGTTCCAAATTGTTGGACCAGCAAATGCGAAAGTGCGCTTAGGCATTCAGAGTTCCGTTTGTGCACCACAGCTCTCAATGCCACTATCGGATGAGCGGAGCTCTCTACTGGGTACATAAGGCGTCAGCAGCTCTTTCAGATAGGACGGCGCCAGGTCATGTAAGCAGCGGTAGCACAAAGTTGCGATCTTGTACTCTATGCGAACATCTGAAATCGCTTCGCAAGGGACCAAATCTGGTAGTACCCGCACTGTGCTGTAATTAGTCTTTATTTATCCACATAATTACTATTCTGTTGTAATTATTATTGGGCGTTTAACATTTGAATTAATTTTTATAAGACTTCTGCGAACATGGATTGATAATTAAAAAGGGAAAATTAAACTATGCTACAGCTGTCGACCAAACTTATTATTCAGGACCAGTCCATTGAGCTACAGCTAGTACTGCATCATATGAGCTGAAAGTGCAAAACATTAACTGTGGGATTCACTTGGGCAGGAAACCCACACTGCCCTTTACCGCTCTGTGTTGTCTGCGAGGAAAAGCTTTTCCAATGTGCCATGGCACCAGCTAAACTGAATGTAAACATCCAGATGTAGCACACAAGAATATGGCATACTTATAGAGGTCAAATAAAAAAACAAACCACTACATTTGAGAAACAGTTCAAGATAAGTAACAATTCCCAAGAAGAAAGTTATGCTGTCGCGGAGATCATTGCAAAGAAAATGAAATTGGACACCCTTGCCGAAACCATAACCTTGCCAGCGTACAGAGAAACAATTGTGAGAGTGAGTAGGACAATACAATAAGAAGATGTATTTCAGATAAGTCTTGCAACATTGAAAGTGAATATAAATGTGAATTCTTTGCCCTGCAGGTGGATGAAAGCACTGATGTAATTGGTAAATAACAGCTTATGGGGTTTGAACGTTTTATTGACATAGGAGATGTTGAAGATTTTTTTGTGCTGTAAGTAGTTACCAGAAACAACAAAGGACAAGATATATATTTAACATTGCCTAATCATATTTAAAGACCTGTGACTTGAACAAGAAAAATTGTGTTGGCATTTGTATGGATGGTGCTCCTTCCATGGTGGGAAATGTCAAAGGTTTCTTCTAGCTGGTGCGACGGTTAAATCAAACTACCACAGGCGCGCATTTTTTCATCCACAGAAGCGCTAGTTGCCAGAAAATTTGGAGCCAAGTTAAACTCTGTGCTGGCCATGGAGGTGAAAATCGTTAATTATATGAAGAGACCTCTGAAATGTTGCCAAACTTTGTGAAAGCATGGAAGTGGACCATCTGACACTCATCCAACACTCGGACGTACCATGGCTGTCTTGATGAAAAGTTTTATCTCAATTATATGAGATGAGAGAGGAGATGCTTTTGTTCTGTTCTTGTGAAGAGGATTTTGAAGAGGTACTGTGTAGCGTTTCCAAAGTAGCTTATATGGCCGATATATTTTATGAATTAAACATTTGAACAGTAGAATGCAAAGCAGAAATGAAAATGTCGTGACTTCAACTGACAGAATTAAGGCAATGCTGAAGAAATTGGTACCGGTAATTTGAAAGAAGCATGCATCAGCTTGAAATTTTGAAATGTTTCCCAGTGTTGTTTTAAGAAATTATGAAGAAATTCATTGATTCTGACCAATGTGGATGCTCTGTTGAATAGTCTTGGCAAATTTTTATTTGCAATGAAATGTTTGCTACTGCAAACTGATGCCAAAGGGTAACAATAATGTAACTTAGTACTATCTAGTAATTCGGCTATTCTGGCCACAAAAGAGAACTTTTGATTTGGGCTACAATTATTGTTGCATACAAAGGACTGAATCAATCTGTGTTTTTTTCGTGCATAAATAAGTATAGGAAAATGCTGTTTCTGTCCATATGGAATAGAACAAACCCTTTTATTAATGCATGTGGTTCCAAAAGCTATCTAAATACTCCATAGGGTTCCATTCCAATGACAAGGTTGGAAAAAAATTCTGTAACTGTAACTACATCTGCAATGGAGTATGTTAACACCTCCAAGCCTTCAACAGTATAGGTTATAAGTTATAAGACAGACAACTATGCCATTTGCATGGTTAAAATTTGCCAGCCTTAGCTTGATTAAAAAAAAAAATGTACTTCATGTGCTAAATCAGAGGTCCTCAAACTACAGTCCATGGGCAAGGAATGGCACAATATAGCACAGAAAATTGATAATCTCATTAGCCAAAGCAGGTCCGTAAATTAAAAAGTATATGCTGATTGAAATTGTTTTTTATTTTAAACATTGTGTTGTATTTTTTCTTTCTTTGTTTTTTTTCGCAGTACAAATAAACAAGTTATGAGCATAGGAATTTCTTTATATTTTTTTCAAACTATAGTCTGGTCTCCACCAGTGTCTGAGGGACAGTGAAGAGGCCTCTGTTTATTAAGTTTGAGGACCCAGTGGTTTGTTGTTCGGGAGTCGACCATGACCACTTTAATCATCAGATTTGTGCTGGTTCTGTCTGTGGGTGCGCAGATGGCTAATTAGGCAGATTCTGGCACGAAATTTTCTTGTGCAGTAAGTGCAGGGGAATGATGGGGCATCTCTGGGAGCAGAGTCAGACCGGGCCTTCCTGGCATGTCTCTTGCGCTCTGCAGCCACTGTTCTGCCAACTTCATGTTGCATGGAGCTCCTGTGTAAAGTGCCAACTTAATGTTGCATGGAGCTCCTGTGTAAAGTGGAATGTCATGATGTTCGATCCTTTGCTATTTCCTCCCATGTGTCTGGGTTTATGTTGAACGCTTTCAGTGACGCTTTTAGGTTGCCTTTAAAACGTTTCTTCTGCCGCCAGCAGACTGCTTTCCTTGTTCCCCATATAAAATTCTTTGGGGCAGATAGTCGTCTGACATTATCACATGTCTCTCCCAGGCTGGTACTTCATTAAGATGGTAAAGATGCTGGGGAGACCTGCCTTTGTGAGCACCTGTGTCTTTGACCCTGTCCTGCCATTTAATGGTGAGGATTTTTCAAAGTCTTGTTGTATGAAAGTGGTTCAGCATTCTTGCATGGCGTTGTATACCATCCACGTTTCACAGGCATAGAAAAGCGTAGGGAGAGAAGCCGCCTGATATACTTTCAGTTTAGTTTGAGTGCTGATACCTCTCCTGGTCCATACGTTCTTAGTCAATTTTCCATAGGTTGCACTGGCTCTCGCATTACGGAGGTTAACCTTGTCATTGATGGTAGCGATTTGGGGAAAGTGTGCTGGCGAGATAAGAAAAGCTATTCACCACCTTAAGTCTTTCGCCATACACTTGGATATTGGGCTCAACATAAGGTCTTTGAGGAGCTGGCTGGTATAGGACCAGGAAGTCCCTGATGGTGTCTGTCAGGACCTTCGTTGTGGCATGTAGCCTCTTGGGGTTGAATAGATTTCTGTCAGTTCGGTAGCTGAGGCCGATTGCAGCGTCTCCCTCTCTGAGGGCATCGATCCACATGAGGCTGAAAAGTGTTGGGGCAATTGTTTGTTACAGGGAATGGTTTGGACGTTTCTCCATTATCTTGAACTCTAGCCTGCATAATTGCATACCATCATGGAATAGTCGTACCATTGACACGAACTTCCTGGGGCATCAATATTTGGCCATGATCTTCCAAAAGCCCTCTCTACTGTCAGTGTTGAAAGCTTTGGTCAGGTTTCAAAGGTAGAGAAGAGGTCAACATTTTTTTCCCTGGTGCTTTGCCCCTTGAGAGAAGGCATATAGCTTGTTGGGTCTGTTAGGGTAGGGGGGTCTTCCAGTTCTAGAGTAAATTAAATGGCACCTGCATGAGACGATTTATGGCTTCATCATTGATGGATGAGGGTCGATTCAGGATTTTGTCCAAAGTGTTCAGCCGAGCCTTCAATAATTTTTTTCCTTCTCAGTGAATATATATTTCTCATCAGCACTCAGAAGTGGGAATGATCCTGATGAAATGGGGCCGTAGACTGTTTTCAGAGCGGAGTATAAATTTATTTAGGTCATGTCGGTAAGAATAGCCTTGGATCTTGTCACTCAACCATTTATTCTGCATGAGACGCAGTTTCTGCTGCACCGTTCTTCTTATACTGTGGTACACATCTTTCATTGGGATTGACCTCAGGTTGCTTAGGGAGCATGGTGGAGACTGTGTTTTTCCTCCAGCAGTTGCTTGATTACGTCACAGTTATCAAACCAGTCCTGATTTTTTTCGAGAAACTCCATGGCAGTGTTGTACAAAATCGATCTAAGTGATGCCCAGTTTGCTTCAACGTTGTCATTTTCCAATAGTGTGGACTCCATACATTCTTCCTGAGCATCCACAAAATATTTCTTAATGTTGGGGCTTTTGAACTTTGTGGCAGTTAGACGTTTAGGGGTCTTCTTTCCCTGTGGACGTCTTTTGGGCTTTTATGTGTAGATTCAGCTTGGTGATAATAAGATGATGATCTGTCCAGCAGTCTGCACCACACATAGACTTGGTTACACGCACGTCCTGACCGCCCTTCCTTCTGATGATGACATAGTCGATGAGGTGCCAATGTTTTAAACAAAGGTCGACCAGTATGTCAGATTACGTGTCGGAAGGCAAAATATCATGTAAGTCATCAGCAATTCCTGTTCTGCACTTTTCTGCCAATGGTTTAATGAAATAATGACTGATACTGATAATAAGACCACACAAATTTTAATACAATATATATAAAAAAATACAATATATAAAAATAATTTGTTTTATAATTTATTAATATTGTACAAAAAAATGGAATGTAAAAATTTGTTGATTAAAAAAAAATCAATGCAAAAGTAGAACATAAAATGAATATGACACAAAATTATTTTGAATAGCAAACAATCACATTAATATATTAATAGGTAGCCATTATTTATTGTGTCTTTCCCTCAAATTTATTTTAATTGGAAATATATTTGACCAAAACAATTTTTATGAACGAATGATGAAAATGTATGGTTCTTGTTTGAAATAATAATTCTCCAAATATTAATAAATTTAATATGATTTTCAATACAGAGATGTATTTTATGTCAAGATTTGTCAGATTCTGCTAACTACTTCTTCCAAAAACCTCCAAAATATGAAAATAGGTGCTATAAAAAATATATAAAAGCTGCACAACAGATGTTTTAAAAGTAAATAACCTTATTGTATAAGGATTTTACTATTATTGAAGTGAGTTATCAACAAAAAGCAAACATATACAAATAAAAAAAAGAACATTATTAACAGATGTTAGTAAGTTAAACATTTAAATATACAAATTAAAATCAAGAATATTATGCGTTGTAAACAATGCAAGCTTCAATTAAATAAATAAATTTTGAGTGATACAATACTGAAACAAGCAACACGATTGTTTAGCTACATACATTTCTTTCTTTTTAATATTTTACCACACGATCTATTTCAAAGCAGGAAGTGAAAGTGTATGAAGGATATGTATTTTTATTATTATTACTGATCACATATGATATAGGTGTTAAGAAATTTGAAATAATTAAATGCCTTATATAAGAATAAAGTATTTCAATCATGACGCAGAGTGGAGAAAAAAAAACTTTTAGGGTAAATTGAACATGCATTGTTTTTGCTTGCACATAGATTGAACTAGTACTAGTATATATTTTAAGAATTTTTTTGTATTTTAAAAAGGGGTGGGGAAAGCTGCCTTTCCACAACATGGTTTAGTTATTTTCTGGCAAATCCTCCAAAAGTTTTTTTTCATATTCATTCATTTCTTCATCATCGAAATGAATTTTGTTATTATCTAAGGCCTTATTTTGTTGATTACTTTTAAAGGGATCTCCAGAATGATTTAAATCTGGCTTGGGTTCAGCTTTAGAAGGTTGATCTTGAACAGCTTTGAAATCTTCCAGGCCTAATTTTTTTACTAGCTTACTGTTGCTATTCCTAGAATTCCTTGGTAAAATGTTCTCCATGGGTTCACTTACTTCTTTTTTAGACATTTTTCCTTGCCTATGAATATTTTCTGTCTCACCATTCAAATATTTTGATCTCCTCAGTTTATCTTCTATGTCTGACAGATCATTTTTATTAGGCCCCAGATCAGTATCATCTTCCTCAGCATTTGCATATTTTGATTTCTCTTGTGGCCTTTTAATATCAAAAGAGGTCACATTTTTAAACAGAATTTCTGCATTGTCTTTGCTTCCTGTCTTCCCTGTATTCATCTTAGTTTTCTTGTTAGCATAGGAGGACTCTGTAGGATCTGGATTGTCCTTTTCGTGGTCCTTTATTTGATTTAAATTCGTTTTATTGCTAGAAGATTTCTGGGCTTCAGAATCAGGTGTAACGTCTTTCTGTGAAGTAATTCCTAACTGTTGATCAGGAGAATTGCCTTTGACACGAGAAGGCCACCCGTTGACAAATCTTTCACCATTTAGATTTTGTGAATTGATATTAATTTCTTTTCTGCTTAAATTTGATGGAATATGCTGAGCTTCATATCTTTCCCTTTTTTTAATATAAGCTCTGTTGTCCATTATAGATCCACCATTAACAGAGCCATCTCTATTAAACTTGCTAGATAGAAGTGGGCGACGACCCCAAACAGTATTTTCCAGCAATTTTTTTACCTTAAGCTGTGCTTCTTCAATGTGTCGCCTTCTTTCTTCAATTTGTTCTTCCATCCATTCCTCCACTGTGTCCTCAGAATATATCTCTTCTAAATTTTCCTTTAAAGGATAGGAAATTTTAGCATAACCAGAAGATACTTTGTTCATGATCATACTAAAGACTTTGAGTTGACCAGGATTAGAAAAGCCATGATTAACTTGGTAGTCAGATAACCAGCCATCAGTCCTGTGCTTCAGATCTACCTGAGTGTACCCGTAAAAGGATTGCATCGCATGATATACAGCATGGCCAGGAAATCTGTTTGTGATGCGAAAAAAAAAAATACATTTAAATTTGATGAATATAATTTAAAATTTAAGAGTAAATCCAAGACATGCTAATTGTTACAGTTTACCCCTTCTTTGCACAGGTTTTTTTTCACACTTTCAGACTTGTACTGCCATTCACAGGTTTCAAATGGATTTGGAAAAAAATTACACGCCTTTTAGATATTGCCGACATTTCTCTACACTTCTTACAAGATATTCAATGCTGTTCAAAATAAAACTTAAGACTTTTAAACTTGAAGTGATCTTAGGGATCAATGTGCTAAATATGAGGTTAAGTCTAAAATAAATAGAAACTGGGAGCAGTGCTTAAGTGACTGTCACGGTCATATTGTGTGTTTATGCTATATGTCTGCTTTAATAATTTTAACATTGAGCAATGAAGTTTTTCATTTGGAACTTCCCCATGTGTCGCACCACTTTGACTCAGTCATGAAAGCGCTATGATGAACTGGGAGAATGTTATGGTCAGGCTGTATTTGTTTTAAGAAATGAGTGACTGATTTGTTACACTATTTCCTGGAAATTCAACTGTTCCACAGATGAATAATATTGTTACTGGTTGGTTTGTTATGCATTTTGTCTTGCATAAAGAATTAAAGTATACATTTTACTTCTAACTATATCGTGAAGTTCTTATCAGAGAGAAAGAAAATGGAGTTTAGGCTCTGATTCGATAGTGTGTCTGTGGCCGCTGTTGACCTACCCCTAGTCAACATTTCGCCACAGTGACCAGCATTTATGTATTAGTGAATAGCAATGAAGGAAAATTCTACCTGTCCTCTATTAAGAAACAGACTTCATGGTAAAACAATAACATTAATTTAACACAATGCAATTAACACTGACACTGTTTTTTGGGATATCAAACCAAGTCAGACAATATAAAAAAAGGGCAAAGAATGCAAGTATTCAGTGATAATTTAAAAAAAAAAAAAAATTAAAACCAATTATAAATGATAATTATTTTAACTATTTATATAATTTGTACAGGATTTCATATTTATGTACAGGTTTGTAAGAATTTTTTTTTACAGCTTTTGATTTAACAGGTTGACATGTAAATACTACACATTTATTACTGAATGTAGAACTTGAAATTAAATAAACTATATTAACCTGCAATCCTGAGACACCAATGCCATTTTAGTCCGGTTGTCAATTGAAGGGTATGTCATTTCAATAAGGTTTTTACAATCCAACAACTGGCTCGTAGACTTATGAATTGCCTACAATTAAAAAACAACAACAAATAAACACATTTTTTATTGTTACAGAATCAAAATAAAAAGATTAAGAGTAGTTTTCTTTTTTTTTTTTTAAATATAAAAGAAAATTATCCCAATCTGTAACAAAATTGCCCTTAAATCATTTACTTACCACAGGTTTATAATTGCTTAATAATATCACACAATCAAAAACAGAATTTAAATTTTTTTTTTTAAGATGAACATTATTGTGTGTGTGATAGCTGCAATATTTCAGTTTTCGTCTCTGCTCTTTCTATACTATAAATAGTCCAAAATCTGAATTCTACATTAAATTTCAATAAAAATATTCTGGATAAAAAAATAATAACATGCAAGTTAAAAAAACAACTTTCAAATAAATGTATTGAGTGTGACTTTCAGGAATACTAAACATTTTTTGTGATGACCATGTGGCCTCAAGCCAAATTCAATACAAGCGATCATTAATGTTGAAGAATTCTATTTACTGCACATTTTAATGATTTTTTTTAGCTTTGTCTATCAACTATACATTTACTCTAGCACATACATTTAAAATTTGGATATCAACTTAGAATTTAACAGCTCTGAGGTCAATTAAATTTTTACAGACCTCTGTAAAACCGGCATTAGATACAGCTGCAAGGCAGACTGCTAAGCTTGGCAGAGCCACGGGCAAGAGTTCACAAAGAGTGGCAAAATGATCATAACGAGACCATCCAGTCAAAGCTATACCTCGAAATTTCAGTCGATTACTGGTTGAAGCAATGACTTCCAGCCAGCTAGAGAGAGAAAAAAATGTATCCCATTAAAAAAAAATACATACCCTCTAGAGAGCCAGTTTTCTAGAATAGAAATTTCTATTTTGTATACCGATTGTGATATAAATTAAAATAATGTGCTTTAAGATTTAGAGCTAAAGGTTGTTTTCTGAGACTTTTTACTACCCCGGTATAATAAAATGTTAAAATTAAAATATTATTATTTTTTTTAAACATTGCCTTTGCTTGATCTATTACTATTAGTTCCTCTGACATTTTTTTATGTGATAGATATTTGTGCACTCTGCTCTTACTTACCATATTAATACTAAATAATCTGAGCCCATTGTACTAACCTGAAATGATTTTGAATATGAAATTGAGGGTCAGTGAAAAACTGCCTGCTTCCTGATGCTCCCTTGAAAGCAGATGCAATCCAAACAGATTCGAAGAGACCTGAATATTTATCCCATATGGTTATATTGATTTTATCTAATACATTTACTCCATATTGCCAGACCATGATCTCAACCAGGGAAGGTAGTTTGAATTCCTGCAAAATCAAATACAATACAGATACTTATATTTTTAAAAAAAAACTGTTTGAACACCAGAGTAAATTACTGCCTTAAAATAATTTAATAAATTGCATTCACACTTTGAAATAAGTTAATTTTTCCTTACCAAGATAGTGTTAGCACTTATTTTCCTAAGCTCATCATCCCATATCACTGGTTTAACTTGCTGGTTTCCAGTGTATCTTACAATGTTGGCAACTTTAGTAACATGATGTAAAAATAGTTCATGATTGTCTTTTTTTTGGGAAGCACTAGCCCCACGCCCTAGTTCATAAACTTCATCACATCCAATGTGTAAATGTGAGGCATCAGGATGTAGTTCTAAAATCTGTTGAAAACATAAATCCTATTAGTTTAACACTAATCCAAAGAAAATCTTGAAATATACTACCATATTGTTCAAAGCGTAAAATAATTTTTTTAGTCTACAAGGATTTAATTGATCTGAAATTCTGACAAATCTAAACATTGCTTACTTGTTTGACTATTTCAGTTATCACTGCATAGCTCTTATTTGAAGTAATATCAATTACTTGAGGAGTGTAGTGACTCTCTCTTAAATCTTCAAAAGCAGACTTCAGTACAAACTCCATGTGACCAAATGTCTGAATAAGAGGCATTACAGTCAGATTATAGGTCTTGGCTAGCTTAAGAAATTCTTTTATTTCTGACCTGCGGTAAGAGTTTTCAGCAGATATATTTTTCAGAATTCCATAATATGGAAACATATCTTCATACTCAACGAGAAGGCCTGTGGCTCCTAGAGATGCAAATAAAGGCAACAGTTTTTTAAGGTAGGTCATTTTTGGTGGTGCACCTTTGAGATCTAGATGAACCAGTTTTTCCATTGTTCTAACAGCTAGCTTAGCCTTATCAAAACTTTTGTAGTAAGCTTTCTCCAACTGGTGGTTTTTAGAGTCACTCGTTCCATAGATTTTCCTTTTGATAGATTCATTGGTTTCATCTTGCCCATCAATCTTTCTAATACGTGAATTTGAAACCGAGTTTTCGGGTATCTTTAACAGTTTATTTTGAGGAATCTGGTCTTGGTCACTTTTAAATTCATAATCAGGATCTTGCTCAGAATTTCCATTTAAGAATTCTTTACTTTTCAATAACTTATTCCTTAATTCTGATCTTATGTTTTCATTGCCATTGCTGAATTTGGAGTAAGCATCTTTTGGTTTGATATCAGTGGAAAATAAAGATCTCCAAGACAGGTAAAATATCACGAGGCCTACAGCAAAAACAGAAACAAAAAGAATTCCTGACCGTCCTCTCATGTTTCCTCTTCTACCCATGAATCTGAAATAATTTTTAAAAACATTTTAGTTATATTATATGTAAGGTATGATAGTACTTGAAAAACAATTTTGAAATTAAAGAAATCAAAAAGACCAACTTACTAAAACTACAGCTGCTGAATTTAATTATTTATACCTCAGAAATATACGAGTTTATATTGTGGAGAGATTGTGGAGAGTTCGGACCACGGCGGCGCTGGGGATTGTGGAGAGTTCGGATCACGACGGCGCCGGGGGCGTCTGACCAGGGATTACCGGCCGTCTGACCAGGTACAGCCGGTGCCATCTGACCAGGGATCACGATCAACGGATCAAGCGCCGGGGGCGGTACCGGCCATCTGACCAGGGCATTTCCCTGGGACGACTGGTTGGTTGGTAACCTGGCGCCGATTGAGGAAAAGGGGCGGCGCGAGTACAGACCTGGGAAGGGAACTCTATGAACCAGGGACTTATAAATAGGGACCTCTGGACGGGACGGAGGAGAGGCGGCCGGACAGAGAAGCAGATAGCAGGGAGAACTCGGACGGTATGAGAAGAGGGCAGTCAGAGTTGTGAGATGAGAGAAAGTATAAGCGAAGTGTCAGCCTAATAAAGAACAAGATTATAATCATCAGATGTTATCGCCTGAGTTGTTTCCTTAAGTGAATGCCAGATATAGATGAAGGTTAGCAGAGAGCAAGCAAGGTTTCCTTACAATGGTGGCAGCGGTGGGATGTTAATCTTGCAACGACTCTGAAGAGACAATATTTTTTCTGGGTAGCCGGACTGAGGCAAGGTGTGGAAAATCTATGGCAAGCACAATGACTTGCCAGTATTTAAACAACCTTCCAACGTACAGTGGAACCTCTACATGGCACACGTTTATCGTGCAGTTTGAAACAGCTGCAAAAATCTTCAAGTGGAGCGAGGAAGAGAAACTCCTTTATTTGGGGTTTGCTTTGAAGGATTCGGCGGCTGAATTCGCTTACAGTGAATTAAGTGAAGAAGAGCGAGAGACGTACGAGAAACTTAAAGAGGCCCTCGCCAATCGGTTCCAGGATCATAGGACACCAGCTTTCTTCCAGAATCTGTTGGAAAAACGTACGTTCCTAAGAACAGAAACCAGTGCTGAGTACGCTACCGACATTAAGAAATTGGTAGCGAAAAGCTTTCCAATGGCAGACCAGGCCACACGAGATGCCATTGGTTTTAGGCAGTTTTTACGTGGGCTACGGGATCCTTCAATGGTCACACATGTTGGCACTATGGCCGTCCCTCCAACAGTGGACAAGGCGAGAGCAGCCCTGGAGCAGTTATTAAATCTGAGGGACAATTTTTGTCTACCGGGAAAGCAAGTAGCATCAATAGCTACTGACAACTTGTCCAGAGAGATCAGCGGCCTGAGAGAGGACTTTAGGGCATTCATCACCTCACAGAGAGGGGCAGTTAACCAGTCAGCTCGAGAAGATGGAAGTTATCGACAGATGGAACCCAGGTGCTTCGATTGTGATCGAATCGGTCACATTGCCCATGATTGTCAAAACAGGAGCTTAGGAGGCAAAATTCCTGATCGGCTAAAATTGAATCACATTTCATCGAATGGTCGAGACGCTCGTCCTAGTGCTGTGTTTGTACCTGTTACAGTGTGTGGTGTTAGGGCAGAATTTCAAATGGACACGGGTGCGGCTGTGACCGTTATTTCAAAGAAAAGATTTTTTGAAATTCCTCGACGGCAGCGACGTAAGATTCATCTCTCACCTGTGAAGCTGCAGACAGCTACTGGAGCACCAATGAATCTATATGGGGTGAGTGACGTACAATTATTGATTGGAGATAAATGTTATCCCTGGACGGTATATGTGGCAGACATTATGGAGGACGGTTACCTCGGGTTTGACTTTTTGGCTCATTATAATTTTTCCTACTCAGTCAGCCAAGGTCTGAATTTGGACGGTCACAATGTGCCCATTGCGGCTAAATTGAGGGTAAATTCGAAAGAGGATAAGAATTGTTCTAGCCCATCAAAACGTGTTAACAATAACCAGTTACCAGCACCAGCCAGGGTGAGAGTAAACATGGTCACTGCCCTCAACAAAAGACAGCGTCCTGGTAAAAGCCAGCGGACACGCATGGCTGCTGTCCAGACTAACGGGTTACCCCGTACTGAGATGACCGCGCCGTCGACAAAGCCCAAGAATGTTGGGTTGTAAATCCGTCCAGTTGTGTGGTGAGGTCAATTCTAACTGGAAGAAAAGGAAGATAATCCTAGATAGAGCAGTGAAAAGACAGAAAAATGACCCCGACGCTAGAGCAGTAAAGCGCCCTTTCAAAGTGGGTGACGTTGTCCGGTATGCAGACTCAACAGACAAAGCGAGTCAAAACCAGAAGGTGAGCACTAATAAGTGGCGCGGTCCACTGGTCATTAGCTGAAAACTACGGCATAATTTGTTTGAGGTAGAAGGAGAGGGACGGATGACGTTCAAAATTATTCATCATGAACGCCACTGTAAGCTGAGACATGACCCTGACCCGCCAGATTGGAGTAAATTCAGGGCTTCGACAAGTTCTCCAGGAAAATGGGCATGGGACACTGACAGTTTTCTCAAATATGGAATGTGTTAATTATTTTATGACATGACAATCTTTTAGATAGACATAAAGGTAAATGAAATAATGTGCTCTAATATTTTGTGTAGAGGTACTTGAAATTTAGGTTGGATAAACAACATTATTGCTTAACGATTTCGGTAGAAATTGATGCATGATGCAAAAATTATAGATTTTTGTTTGTAGTGAAATTGTAACATTTTTTTATGTTGAAGTTTGAAATGGAGGGTTTGAGTTAAAGGTGTTTTTGTAACCAATTATTATTTTCTTGCATTGGAATTTTATTCGGTTCTGAGAGGCTTAACATTGTTTACTGTGATACTTGATTTGTTGTTTGATTTTGTTTTCAACTTAATTCTCTAAATGTTGTATTATTCACTGTTCATTGTTAGCTGAACGTTGTTCGATCAAAATTGTCTGATTGTGGGAGTGTAAGAAGCGCTCTGACTGTCACCAAACTGACCCTGATCTTGACTAGAATTGTTAGGAGACAGTGACTGAGGTGACCTTTAACTCAATTGTGGTATTCTAGGTACGCGTAGGATTGAAACAAGGGAGGTGCACTAGAACCTCAATGTGATGACACACGTGCGTTACTGTGAGCTGTTTTTAAATGAAGGCTGAAGGTCCGAGGCACTTTAAGCCATTTAGAGACCAGTTATGTAACTGCAGCTAGGGTGTTAGTAATGTCGGGACGACATTGGTTTTGTAAGATGGGGGTATTGTGGAGAGTTCGGATCACGACGGCGCCGGGGGCGTCTGAACAGGGATTACCGGCCGTCTGACCAGGTACAGCCGGCGCCGTCTGACCAGGGATCACGATCGACGGATCAAGCGCCGGGGGCGGTACCGGCCATCTGACCAGGGCATTTCCCTGGGACGACTGGTTGGTTGGTAACCTGGCGCCGATTGAGGAAAAGGGGCGGCGCAAGTACAGACCTGGGAAATGAACTCTATGAACCAGGGACTTATAAATAGGGATCTCTGGACGGGACGAGACAGAACGCGGCCGGACCGAGAAGCAGATAGCAGGGAGAACTCGGACGGTGTAAGAAGAGGGAGTCAGAGTTGATGAGAGAAAGTATAAGCGAAGTGTCAGCCTAATAAAGAACAAGATTATAATCATCAGATGTTATCGCCTGAGTTGTTTCCTTAGTGAATGCCAGATATAGATGAAGGTTAGCAGAGAGTAAGCAAGGTTTCCTTACAATATGGGGGAGGTTGGGGGTGGGTGGGTGCACTTTGTGGAATCATCTTTTTATTAAGCATAAAAACTTTGTTAAGTTTATTTAAGTTGTGAATGATCAAAACATAAAATTCAATTAATTTGAAAAGAATGAGGATGCAAATTCTTGTTTCAATATGTTGCTGTCAGTCAATGTACAAAGATTTTCAAACTGAAATTACTTTCTTCAGTGTGGGTGAGTACAGTTCTCAGTGAGTTCTTCGTTACTTACATTCATTTATTCACAATTAAATGGATGTAAACCTTTCAATAAATTAGCAAATCCTCTAAATCTTAAAGAAAGCCTGGACAGTTATAAAATTTCTGAATATTTATAAACATTAAAGGAATATATTTGTATGTGTGCCCCATACAGAGCCCAGGTAATCAAGTATGTGTGCCCCATACAGAGCCCAGGTAATCAAGTATGTGTGCCCCATACAGAGCCCAGGTAATCAACTTAATGGGCATTTTAACTCAAATAAAAAGATGTCCAGGAGCACCAAGAAATTTGGCTGCTCACTAGTTATACAATTTTTATGGTTCTGAAAGAGTAGAATGTTTTTACAATAGCTTGTTCTTGTTCATTTCATTCTTCACTTTTCCTCACCTTAGAACACAGTTTGTAGGCAAAGTAGAAAAATACCAAAATTTTCCCCCATGATAATTGTCCCACGCCTAGTAAGTTCTTGGCCACTCTGTTCAGGACGTCATCTTTCATCTCTGGTGAAACTTTTGATATGATTCTGATCACAAATAGAAACACACACAAAACAAATCATACTGATATTAGTAATCATAATGCTAGGCTTTTAATGAGAATAAATAAAATTCAAACAATGGGATGAGGATTTCAACTTTTAAACCAATTTTTTCTTTTTAATTTCCTTTTAATAAACATTCACAGTTCTAAATTAAGGTCAAATACTCTGATGTGCTGGCTTTGAGGTATGCCATTACGTAAACAAATGAAAACAATGAGAAAGAACAAATGTTCCGTAAACTCATTATTATTTACCTTTGCATTCTATCATCCTCCTCAAAATTATCCGCTGCCTTTCTATAGGCTCTGCCTATTTCCCGTAAAAATTCTGGACTATTATCTAAAAAAAAGAAGTTAAAATTTTTTCAATATCAATGGAAATAATGAACTGAAAACCTCCAAAAAGATGACATAATTTAGCCGATAAAAGTAAACTGTATTTTTTAAAATTGGCTATCCTATTACCCTCTATAAATAAAACAATATACAGCTTTCAAGGAGCATTTACTGATTTGAAAAGGCAGCTGAATGGAAGCAACGACTTTACTTACCACGAGGTGATTCTGCCTCAAGCTGCCCTAGTACTACATTATCCTCAACATGATCGTGTTCTTTTAGACGATTTAAGGTTAAAATACTGATGAGTTGCTCCCCTTGATTGGTCACAGTATTACTAGATAAATGCCTTCGTCTTGATCTATCTGCAAATAATAAATGATGAATAATTAAAACAACGGCAAAGGAATTTTTGAAGTCTGTTAGCTTCCCAGCGCTAAAAAAAATTATTTAAAATAACGTATTTAAAAAATTACCCTTTATTAATACCGGTACAAGTCACAAATATTTTTTCCAGCTTTCACAATATTTTGATCACATGTGACTAAAATCCACTTCTGGAGTGCCCATGATATAAATGAATAGTGTTGATGGATAATGCACATTAGAGGCGAAGTCGATTTAAGTAATTGTGATAGCTTAAATTAATAAAACTGTAAAACTTAATTTTTTAATGCAACCATGTGTGAACTAACATGGCTCTCTATTTGATTGGTGCAAGCAGCAGTTTATCACAGGAGCATAGACATGTAAAGCTTATTGGGGTTATTAAATAAAGCTAATTCCAGAGCCTTAGGTGACATTATGGTATTGAGTCCAAATTTCACAAATGTGCAAAATTCAAGACAATTGGTTTGTAAGAAAAGAGTAAAGTAAAAAATTTCAAGATTTGACCCTGACAGACTGACATGAAACCAATTAAAAATGTAATCATGTAAATACAGCTACATATTTAAATTTAAGTGTAATTAAGTTAAATTATAAAACACTCTGTAACATAGCATTTACATTTTTAGCATGCTCAACTCATTCATTAGAACTTCTAAATACCTGGCTGTAATCCACCGTATCTGTTAGACATAAAGGCACTTGCCATTCTCTTGATGGTTCATGAAGTTCAACTAAGAAAATGTTTCTACGTCTGAGAGAAAAACAGAGCGAAAGAATTTATTTTTACAAAAACAATCTTTAGAATAGTGGCCATCATAAATAATATCACACTAATGTGCCCCAATTTAGATTGCTAGGGGTCACAGGAAGAATTTTATAAATATAATCATTGAACAGGCCTATCTAATCATTGAACAGGCCTATCTAATAATTGAACAGGCCTATCTAATCATTGAACAGGCCTATCTAATCATTGAACAGGCCTATCTCATAAAATTGGCAATTAGCCCTGGTCTGTTTGTCTGTAGAAATTGACCATGATCATTTTAATCATCATGTTCATACTAGTTTTTAATTTAGTTGTGGGTGCGCAGGTGAGTGATGAGAACGATTCTGGATAGGAATATTCTGGTGCAGTAGTGCAACGGATAGATGGGACATTTCCAGGTGCAGAGTTAGCCCTGGTAAGCCACAGATGACAAAAGCTAATTAATAATTTAATAAATAGTAGGACAAGGTATGTGGAAGCTTGCATGAAAAGACAGGACAATAAGATATAAATGCAATCCTTCATTTATTATCCTTAATAATTTAATAGCAGGCCTACCACTGCAGGATACATAATAATAACACTATCATCAGAGGTCCCTCATTTCATTATTTACCTCCAGGAGTTCAGGAGTATGCACGAGTACTATATGGTTAACTTTAATACTCATCACTGGCTCCTTTTAATTTTAAGTTTTAATCTTAAACTGGACTGGAGTGTTGCCCAACACTACACTACAAGGCCACAACAATCCATATGATTAATGATTATATTATGATATTGAGATAATTTAAATTTATTTTGGCATGTGTCATAGTCCCTAATAGTAATTAATATAAATTACTTTTGATTGACATCTTTGACATAAGTTAAATTTCATAAGTTACATTATTATTATTATTATGATGATGATGACTGAGTAATTTTATAGCGCTTGTGTCCATGCTATTTTAGCATGCTCACAGTGCTTTGATGTCCTAAAATCTATTTAAAGAAAAATGTCTTAAATTGGTTCTTAAATGACCTTTTATCATTTTCAATGTCTCTCAAAGATTGAGGCACACTGTTCCACAATTTAGGTGTAATTTGTGCAATAGCTTCAAAAGAGCACACCCCATATTATTTAACCCTCTTGAGATGGCTGGGTGGTAAATTGCCCCGGGGTTGAGTAGCGAAAAAGACTAATTCGGCCAAATAATTCAAGCCTTGAGATTGGCTAGTTGTTCTTCGTACCAGCTAAACAGATTGTTTCTTACATATTCCTGCACATCCTGGCAATTTAATGGTGGCTTCCATTTATTGTTTACTAGCTTTTGTTGTGTTCAGGAATTTTTTTTTGTGTTGCAAGTAATATCGTCAAATTCCAAAAGTTACAGTAACACTGAATAAACTACCGGTATCCTAAGTGATTTTAATATTCTAGCAGTAAATCTGACACTGATAAAAACAACCAGGAAAGTAATGAAGACGATCAAAATGATGATGTTGAGGATAATTTTGTGAACCCTTGGTTTAGTATTAGAGGTCCTGAACTTGATAGAGCTGACCCCTGTGAATTTTTAGAAAATATAGGAATAGGAACTATAACACCCCATTTGAGTATTTTATGCTATTTTTACACTAAATATCACTCAAATGGTTGTGAGAGAGACCCGTAGCTATGCAGACAACTTTCTAAGTAACACCCAGCTTAAGAGAAGGTCCCAAGTCATAAATGGGGGCCTGTGAGTGTCTGTCGAATAATAGCTGGGTTCAGGAAAAGGAGTAGAACCATGTGCCATAAAAATAGGTGTTTGAAGGGCTTTTCCCCCCAAAACACAAGTCTTAGGACTTATTCAGGGTTCATCCATAAAAAAATTCATAAAAATGATATAAGTAAGTCATGTATATTCTAGATGTAAAAAAAATTACAATGTATAAATTATACTCAAACTCAAATCAGGATAGCTCATTTGCATAAATTTGAGATTTCAGTTTAATTCATAACTATTTTATTATTAGTATTAGTTCATTCAATTTCCTACAACTACAAGCATATAATATATATATTATTTACATTTTATACTATTTATAAAATAATACATGTAAAGGAAATGGTTTATTTTATTATATATATTATATATAATTTTTTTTTTGTTGCATTATGAGTGCCGAACTTGTAAAAAGTGCTCGGCCTTCTTGGCACTGACACCCAAAACTAAGTAAAATTGAGTAAAAAGACTACGATCCGTCCAGAAAGGGCAACAAATTATGTTTATTATTTGTGAAATTTGTCAAAATACAAACCTCTTACTCTTACTTCTGCCTTTCACCTCTGACTCGTTAAAGTTCGCACGATGACGACGATGTCGCTGTCATGTTTATATTTGTTTAATAATCACCGAAGTTAAGTGAAGTAAAAACAGTAATTATTTATTTTTTGGGGAGAAGAATAAAACAATCTCTGAATTTGCAACATTGGTCCTGGAAATTTCGCTTCGACTTCAGTTTGGTTTTTCTTTTGCTTATTAATGACATAATAAAAATGCGATTGTTAAAAATTACAATATTTCATTATGGATGCGGCTATTCGGGCCCGGTATCAGAAGTGAGAGGTTGGGCTTATTACAAAAATCTTTAAAATATTATTGTAAGGTTTGTACGACAAAATTTGGTATTGAATAAAAGATAATTGAATGGACTATATTTATATGTTTATAAACTTAATTCTTCAGTTTAACTTAAATAAACTAACCATAAATGGTTAGTTAAACTAAAGAATTAAGTTTACAAACATTTAGCTCATTCAATTATCTTTCATTAGATATCAAAGTTTATCTTACAAACACAACAATAATATTTTAAACATTTTTTAATCCCAACCTCTCACTTCTGGTAGCCGGGTCCGAATAGCCACTTCGTTTCATAATCGGTCATTTTATTTTTCTTCTATTTGTTAGTTAAAAAATCATTTTAATTTTTTAAAATAATAAAATATATATAGTATAGGTTAAAAATTGTATTATTATATCCATTTTATTATTATCAATTATATTATTAAAATTGACGGAATTTCCCAATCTTTCTCATAGTATAGACAACAAATAATTCATTACTCCCCCCACCCAAAAAACAACAACAAAAGAACAAAAGTATTCAAATTCAATCGTCATAGATCAGCGGTTCTCAACCTGTGGGTCGCACGACCCTTTCCCAGGGGTCGCCTAAGACCATTTGAAAACACACATGCTCTACATTTATGAAGTAGCAACGGAAATAATTTATATAGCTGGGGGGTCGCCACGACACGAGGATCTGTATTAAAGGGTCGCGGCATTGGGAAGGTTGAGAACCACTGTCATAGATGTTCGCTAACTATGATATTGATATAGACCAGGCCTGAACAACTTACGGCCCGCCAACACCCACTTTGAGGCCCGCGAAGTTACGAAGTATTCTTTATCGGTACTATTTTCTTAATAGCTTAATTTTCTTTTGGCCCGCACACGTTTTTCATAAAGTATTACGGCCCACCTTACATTTTGAGTTGTGCAGACCTGATATAGACTATGACTAGAAAATGTAGGCTTAATTTTCAATGATTCAAATAGCAAAATTAAAATTTTATTGTTGCTCTTAGTTTTTAGTAACTAATTTATGGCTTCATCAATCACAATCAATGGAGAAAATAGGAAAAAGCAATTCTATGATCACTATGGAGTGTGAGATTGTGTTGTTTTCTTGTAGTCGAGTCGACAACATGATAACTAGCCAAAGATGGACAGATGCAGATAAGTAGTGAACGGCCAAGCTGCAAACCATTGTGAAAACAAGTTAATTTTAATAATAATTTTTTAATTGGACAGCCCCTCCCCACCCCACCACACTCAATAAAGTTAACACAGTTAACGCCATTTAAATAGTTTTTACGGCTGAACTCCCACAAATAAAGGTTTTGCAGTAAATAATGACATATTATTATTTCAATTTTAAAAAAAAAAAACAATTTATCCTTTCTTTTGCAATGTTCTACTAGTGATACCCAGAGCAGGAGATTATAGAGGGTGCTCCAGTCCATCATATACCTATCCACCGATGTTTCGTAGTGCAACCCCAAGTCAGCACACAGCACGGCACGGTGGGTAACGGGTGTGTTTAAGCGAAAGATTAAAAAACAAATCTCTTCCCGTATTTTACACGCGCAACGCGGTTTCGTTGCCCCAAGCTAGTAGAAAATATAGGCCTACCTATAATGTTAATACCATACTGTACATACAATATCAGACATGTACATGTTGCCATGTTATTGGGGATTGGCATAAACATTAATTCTTTATATTATTATAAGCCTGCACAGGCCTAAATATAACAATGTGTCATGAGTAGCATATGTGTTAGGCGCCTCAAGGGGTGGGAAATATTTTCTTGGAAAAAAAAGAAAGAGTGCTGCACAAATTCGAGTGCCACATTCTTAGAGCCACCACGCCACTTCTTATTTTTATTTGGCGCACTCATACTATGCTATGTTCCAATAAACTTTACCTAACTCCTAACAGACCAAATAATAGACCAACTAAATCTGAATGGCAAATGATTTTGGCCAAAGAGGGTGAAGCGGAATTTTCCCGTGCCCAAAGATTAAGCTCCACGGAACTAATAGTAATAGCCCTACATCTCAATATTAAAAAAAAACAACAAATCTTTCGAAGGACGCAATTAGATTGTGTGTGTGTGTGTGTGTGTGTGTGTGGCGGCACCGTGTGGAAGGGGAGTGGGCTCATAAATTGTCACATTGCATGCAAGATATGTTTATTATTGTATAGATGCAATTTTTGCTTTCCACGGCCCTGTGTGGGGCAACCACCTGTTCTAAATGCTTCTTTCAGCTCATTTCACTTGTACTTTCACTTTAATTACCGGTACTCTCTGCAGAATAGTGAGGAGAGCCCTTCTCCTTTTCTATTGCCCTGCCGATAACATGGCAGAAGCCGTCTAAATTACGTAGTGTATGGCCAATCCCTCTCAGTTTCCTGCTTCACAGGACCACTTCCTATCTCATTTTATTTTTAGGTTCTTGTGCAAACATGTCATCTCTTATTATCCATGTTTCACACCCACAGAAAAAAATTCTTGGCATTTCTATATCATATTTAGATGTCTGAATGCATCCCGCCTTCTGCGCCACCCTTCTAACTACTGATGCCTCAACATCAGGGCTGCCACTCACTTTTTTCAAATTTCCCAAGATTTGGTGAACAAATTTCCCAAGATTTCCCAAGATCATACAAATATATAAGAGTTTTTTTTTTTTAAAGGGGGGTTTTCTATGTAATTAATGTAATAATAGATTGAATCAATGCCCCTGAAAAACATGGTATATTAATGGACTGAAATTTATTGAAAAAGACATTTAAAACATGTTTATCACATTTTAAAAAAAACAATTTGTTTTTAAAAAAATAATTTATAATCCAAAATATCAATACCCACTGGAGTTAGGCTACTAAATATTACCTCCGAATTCTCTGATAAAAATATAATCTACAATACATGTGTAATAGAAGTCACTTGGAAAAAAAAAGCATACAAGGCTAATCAACACAGAATTCCTTTTACAAAGGCAAAAGTTTCTTCATCAAAAAATGATTTTTTATTATTGTAAATCTGTTGATTACAAGTGGGGTTTGCAAAGCAATTAAGCAAAATTTATTAATAATAATTGTAGTTAAAATGGATTGATATTACGATGAAAACAATAAGTGTTTTATTTTTTCTTGTAAAATTTACATTATAACGATTTTTTCACCAAAAAAAAAAAAATTTTAAAGGAATTGTTCATTTATAATCCTACAACGTAGGCCTATACTGCCTATACTATTAATATCTTAGTTACCCGTGTTTCAATCCACAAATATTTTTTCTAATTGATGAAAATTAGGCTGGATTTTTTACAGATGCATTATATTTTGAACACATTGTAGAAGTAATTGAAATAATAAAATTCTACTATGGCATGGATTCTTGATTGAACACTATCGTTCACTCTTTGGCTTGTACTGTTTTTCGTATGGTTGCTAATGTCTAAGAGCATAATGATAAAGTTTCCGAGCCTACCCCCCCCCCCCTTTAATAAACATTCAAAACCTGGATGTAATTTGTAAATCTTCAATTTTTTTTTTTAAAAGAGAAAATTGAATTTTTTTTTAAAATTATTAACTTTTTAATAATTCACAATATTAACTTTAAAATCAGAAGAGTTTTTATTTATTTTATGAGTGGATTTAAAAATTAAAACCAGAAAAGAAAATGAAAACAATTAATTTTTTGCCTTGTTACTTTAAAAATTATTTTGCTTTATTTTTACTTTATTTTTTATCAGATATTGTTGCGTTTTTTTCGAAAAATATAACAAAATTTTCCCCCCAGTTAAGATTTCCCAAGGTTTTGCATGATTTTCAAAATTATTCCCCAGATCCCAAGGGGGGTCGTGAATTCCCAAGATCTTGGGAAATTTCCCAAGGTATGGTAGCCCTGCTCAACATATGTAAATGAATATTAAAATATTGGTCAACTGCTACAGTTGGATGTGTTCGTTTTTTTCTTCTCGAAGCAATTCTTCATTGTTTATATTGCAAATATTTAGTGAGTAGTTACGCTATCCACTCCTTCATAAGACATAGTCTCACTTACAATCTGCATCACTTCTGACATAGAGCCACACTTCAAATTACAATCGGCCTCACTTCTGACATAAAGCCTCACTGCCAACCTGCCTCACTTCCAACTAACAATCTGCCTCACTTCAAACTGACATAGAGCCTCACTTCAAATTACAATCTGCCTCACTTCTGACATAGAGCCTCACTTTCAAATACAATTTGCCTCACTTCTGACAAAGAACCTCACTTCCAACTGACAATCTGCCTCACTTCCAACAGACAGCCTCACTTCCAACTGACAATCTGCGTCCTTTCCAAAAGATAATCTGCCTCACCTTCAACTGACAAATCTGCCTAACTTCCAACTGACATAGTGAGGCTTTAAACTCATAAAAACATTTTTTGTTAAAAAGCAACACAGAACTCTTGAGGGACACATTTTTTATGAATGAAATGTATTGATAAAGTAAAGATGAGCAATTATTGAATAGACAAAGTTAAATATTTTTTTACACTAGTAAAACTGAAAAAAAAAAATATATCTGTCAATTTTTTTCTTTTTTTTAAGTGTCAAGACTAAACTTGGTTTAATAAAAAAAATAAAAAAGGTGTCATTCAGTAAACATGGCATGCATAATTGTAGCAAGAATAAATGACTTTAATTGGAAAGGCTCAAATTCATTTATTGTCACACTTATGTTTATAGATTGTAAAGAACTCATGCACTATTGGTTTAGGTTTTAGGATGAGAATCTGAATGGAAATGTTGAAATCCTTCAAGAAATAGGGAAACATTCGATGCTGTGAATTGAGAAGCATTAACTCATTAACTGCAA